AAACACCATCACCATCACATGCCTCCTGGTGTCCCTTTGCTTAATTATCTCAGTTTGAAGCCTAGAGGGGGAAAAGTGAAACTGTGCTCATTTGTTTTTCTGTAGATTTTTCTCTCTTTTGTAAAATGTCAGTGCGTGGGTCTAATGAGAAATTACCACACTTTCAGGTTCTGACCACATCCAGTGTTTAGTCTTGCATATCTGAAAGCTCTGGTGCTCCTGCCACTGCAATTACTGGCTCAGATGATTCAGGGCAAGAGCAAAGCTTGAATCTTGTTCTGCAATGAATTCCTGGAGGCTTTGGTTCTGCAGCTGATCACTGCCTTCACACAAAGCATCTCCAAGACTGAGGGGTTTGTCCCATTGTCTTTGAATTTTCACTCATCATTTAACTCCCATGACAAGGCCACAACAGCAGTTTTTTGCCCATACCAGAAATGCTGGTCCACAATCAGGCTGGCACTGCTGAGATAACCAAACATTCTTCATGCACCTCCAGTCCCTCCCTGTGAGCTGGTTTCCTAAGGAGTGAGTGCAGGACCCTGCAAGTGTCCTTTGTCAGCTAAAAGAGATAAGTGATTTTTAAAAAAATTCAGTACAAACAGCAGTGAGCATGCATGTTCTGTGGTGTTTCTGACCCCCTCTCACCTTGCAGGCACACTGAGCTTAGTGAGAAGAATGGCCTGTTGACAACAGGGAAAAACAGGCCAGGTATTTTTATACATCAGCACAAATAAAACTGACAGCAGAAACAGGGAAAAATTAAATGTAATTCTTCAAAATGCTGCAGTGCCACTAACCCAAAATGTGAGTAGTAACACAAATAAAGGAATTTGGACCCCACTCTCCCATTTAAAAGAAGCATTCTTTTGAGGTATGATACATTCAGCAAGCAACACATTTTCAGAATTATTCTCTTCTTCCTCCTCTGTTTTTTTTTCACCTACAAATGCTGTTTATCTGAAGGCTGCCTAATTTGCAAATGCAAATAAGTCAAATCATCTTGAAAAGATGAGGCTATAGAATAGAATGCCGTTTAAGTCGAGAATGAATGTCTGTGATTCAATGAGCTGCAATGCTGGGACCCTGTAGTGGCTCCCAAAATCTCCTGGCTTCTAAAACTCATTGAGGCCATTTACCCCAACAGAAAAAGACCTGCATCTCCCACTGGCTTCAGCGTGCCTGGTAGATCAATACAACAATAAACTGGCACAGCTGCTTTTGACAAACTCACTGGAGTTTTGTCAACAGCTCCACATGAAAAGATTCAGCTCTTCTGGCACAAAATGACCAGAGCCAGCAGTGGCCATATGTGGAACCACATCTTACAGGAATGAAATACATTTTTATTTCCACCAAAGATGTACCATTTCTTTCACATGTATATTTGGTGGTGTTCCTGCAAACAAAGGGGAGAGGACAGCTTACATTTCATCTAAAGTTAGTCTGAAGCAATCTAAAGTTGAATGCAGAAACATTAAACCTGCAAAACAAAAGGCCACTTCTATGATTTTAAATCATGAACTAGTACAAATGTCTAAGAGAAAGCCCAACATTTTTCATGAGTTTTTTCCAAAAAAGGCAAAAAGCTCAACTACTTATTTCTGACAATTAAGCAGCTTACAGAGTCTTTGTTCTACTGACACTTAAAAATGCAGTTTTCAATTATTTATACTGAAGTTCAACACCTAAAAGAGGAAGGAAGAGTATAAAATGTGAGCTCTGCAGCACAGGCACCCCTTCCTGAAGGGTTCCATTCATTTACAGTAGTGTTCTCAAAGGAGCTGCCTTAGGGAAGGACACACAGCCCTGGATTCTGCCACATTCTGTAACACCCTCCCATCCACTAGCACATCTGATCAGATGTAATATACACATGGTAACAGAGAGGATATTTTTCCCCCAGAGGTGCTGACCTGATTTATGAACAGCTGGGAGATCAGCAGGTTGTCCCTACCCAAGGCATAGCCATGCCAGCAGCTGGAGTCAGGCAAGAAGTCCACATGAGCACCATTAGACCAAGAGTTTAACAATTTAATTGAAGCTTCTGAACCCTCTCTGAAGATGCTGGACCACCCTTCCTGGCCCAGCAGCTCTGTTGTATGGACAGACACTTTAAGCAGGGCAGCAAGGTAATGCTAAGATTTGAAACTGCTCCAGTCATTTGCAAAGTGAGCACATGTCAGTCTACATGTCTCAGGTGCTTTTGGAAATGTTACTCAGATTTAGACTGAGGTGTATAAATAGGTCTAGAGGCAACATTCACACAGAAATTAAACTGATATCAAGCACTACGGTGAAACACAAAAAGATATGCCTAAATAAATTCAAAAATCCCAGTCCAAGATCCTTCTGGTTTTGCAAAATGGGTATAAAAACTGCCAGTGATTCTAAACCCCAAATAGAGAAGGGGAACATCTAGTGCAAGCACAGTCCTTTCTGTCCCTCCTGCTTTTCTTCTCAAATAGTCAGTCTGAAGCAAGCTTTAGATAAATACATTTAGATACTGCAGTAGCTATCTCTGAACAGAGGCAATGTGAGCTCCCCACACCCTGCTTTCCCCAAGTGTTCTAACACTGTTCTGGAAGAGAGGGGCTGTAGATCAGGTTTCACTCCAGTTGGTGACCTAATCAATACAAACAGGGCTAGGACTCAATGCAGAACTCCCAGGAGATTGCAATAATCACCCACAATTACTTATGAAAGCCAGTCAATGGCCAGGAGGTTTTATGTCTCATTTATATACCTTAAATCAAACTACTGAAATTAAACTTTGATTCCCAGCACAATTAGATGCCGTGGTGCTAAGCAAGACAAGGCACAAGTGAGTGCTGCCTCAGAGGCTGACTGCCAAGAAATCCAAGGATATGGAGCCAGGAGAGCACCAGAGACTTGAAACTCACCACCAAGGGGAGGTGCAACAATAGAGTTGATATAGTGGATGCAGAAATAGGTATAAAATCAGTGAAATAAGCTCCTACTCCTATTTTGCCTCCCCTTCCTTCAGCAAATGACATAGGCTACCTTCCAGTGGTCAAATGAAGGACAAAGGCAGTAGAAGGTGCTCAGTGGTGGGCATTAATGTGAAGAGACAGGAGGAAATTTTATTTCATTATTTCATCCTTCTTTCTCACTGTAGGAAAGCCTGCAGAAAATGGAGGTTGACCATTTCTGTCAGGTTTATCACAGAAAATACAATTTGATGGGTGATTAGCAAACTCAGCCTTCCTGTCAAGATGCCCCACGTCCCCCAGTAGCTTTGTTCTGGTTATGACCATTATGTATTTACTACTATTTTTATATTTTTTAATATCTGCATGCCATAGTTGAATAACTTTGCAGGCAGTGAGATCACAGCCCAAAAAAAGATGGGAAACACGCACACGAGGCCATTCATTGTGCTATTTTTACTGTTCTTTAGTCCATGGCATTGAACAATGACTCATAAGAGTAGCAAGCCAGAGAAGCACTTGTAAAGCATATCCAAGCTTGTTTATTCACATATTTGTTTGCACTGATTCATCACATTCCTCAGTGTAAAACCAATGGGACTACAGAGGAAGCACGGGGGAGAAATTCTGTTCAGAAAGAGCTTTTCCACCCACCATGCACCCCCAAGATGGTGGAGGTCCCATGAGGGATTTGGGAATATACCTCCTTTACCCACTCCTGAAAAGCAGAGCCCTTACAGACCTATGGAGCACATTGCCTCTGATGGGAATTGCCTCCCTTATCTCTGTCTCCCTTTATCAGCAGCCAAAGCAGAGTAGAAGGAGAAACTAAAACAAGCAAATCTTCTTGCTTGTTTCAAGTCCTACATTAAAAGTGTTGTGTTTTTTCCTCCCCTGAAGTCCTGAGATGAAGTTAACTTATGGTGGGTCTATGTCATTCTTTTAGAGAGGTTTGGCAAAGGTCAGTTACAAAAGCAAATTCTTTCTCCCATGTGATGCAATGGTGTTATGCACCCAGAATGCTATTAGAATAAATATGAATAATGATCGAGAATAATAATAATTTTCATGATTGAATAATAATCATTACAATGTTATAATTCATAATTTGAATAATAATAATAATCAAAAATTTTCCCCTGTGCAATTCTCTTCATGACATTAAAAAAGAATTTGTCTGCCCAGGCTTAACCACAGTTTCTTTGAGGAGGAGGTGAAGATGGGGTTGGTTTCCTCTGCTTACACTGGTTATTTTTGCACAGGGCAGGTCTGATGTCAGCACTGAGAAATTAGGTAACTCCATGATTCATATTTAAGAGTGAATAATGCTGAAAGGGCTTGGGGAATACCCAGAAATATGGATAAGAGGAAATTACACAAAAGACACTGGGATCAGGCTAAGAAAGAACAGGGACAGTGGACATTTACATCTGAATCTGCCTACTGATAGCCAAAGGAACAGACAAAATAAAAGAGGCATTTGAAAGACTTGGTTTTGAAAGAGAAAACTGGGCAATGAGGGGAGAGAGGAATGCAAGAAATAATAAAACACTTACAGAGTACAGACTATGTCACTTCTTCCCAAAACTGGCAGCTCTGCCTAAACATTGCAGATTTCCTTTCACACATTTGGGAGCATTAAAAAGCGTGTGGAGTACAAAAGTCTGGCACCAAAGGCAGCAGGGAAAAACTGTACAATTGCAATTAAAATCCCTATATTTCCATTGATTTTATGGTAAAGTCAGGTGTGACAAATTAAGACTAATCTCCAGAAATAGAGAATATCCAATATATAATAATTATATATATTAATACTTGCCACTGCTAATTCATTTCATCTTGCTTGCCTTGACTCTTATCAAGTCCCTCATACAGAACTGTGTCAGGCAGAGAGTTTCTTTTGTTCCAAACTAACTTGCTACCTTACCCCACACTGTTCCTAAGACACTAGGTTATCTCTAAAACATGCACAAAACTGAAATAACGTCAGATTCTGTTGTTAATACCATGCTGTTAGTTGTATATTTAATATTAAAGTGGAAGCAGTACCTCTTCTGCAAAGTTGGTTTTCTTGTCAAGCATTTCTCGTAAAGTTTGGAGGATTTTAATGCAGAGCTTTTCTTCTTTCTCCATTAGCTTCTTTGTGTGATTAATCAACCTGAAAGTAAAATATTAAAACTTAAAGAGCATTACGCATTGTTGCTAAGCCAATTGCTTTATGCAAAAATTGCCCATCACTATATTTTTCCTCAAGGAAAGGAAATAAAAGTGGTCAAGAGAAATCATAATTAAAAAGGAAATGGGACTTTCAAGGTGTTGGGAGATTTTGGTGTCAATTTGCATATCTTACTGCCCATACAGAAGACAGAATTCTACATCCACTTTTTTTGAGGGTTTACAGTTTAAGATCCAGACTTGCTATTTCATCCTTTCTTTATTTAAAGGTAACTTATTTTAACCGTTATTTAAAGGTAACCAGTGTTCACCATGCATCTTGCAAACTTTAAAAGCTACAACCTTCACACCTTCCAACTTCTATGATGGTTATAATATATTTATGATATAATTAGCAAATGGTATTCAGCCAAAAGGATTTCCAAAAAACCTTACATGGAAACCTTCAGAAATACAGACATTTGGATGATACATAATTGTTGTTTACATTCACACAACCACTTGACAAGCCAGAAAACAAGGTCCATTTCTGTCTCCAGCTATGACTGTGACAGGAGTTTGGATTTCAGTCAGCTGAAGCTGATACCAGAAGCAGCCTTTCTGTCTTTGTGCAGAACAGATCTGTGCATGGGTCCTTGCACTGGTTCACACATTGCTGGAGAAATGTTTGTGAAAATAGGAAGGGAGGAAATCTGAAGGCTTTGGACAGGTTTTGGGGGTTTTCTTTGCATTTTGATGCTGGCTTCAAACAGGAGTTTAGACAGAGGACATGGGATGGGATAATATCAAAATTTAATTTTTACTTTTTGAATTTTTCCAAACATATAAAACATATTGTTATAATGCTACTTCTGCAGAATATGCAAATATCCAAGGAATCAGGAGAGCTGCCAAATGCATTAATTTCCCCCAAGTTATCTCTGTTTAAATTATAGTTTCTCAAGGGCAGGGAGGGCATCTCACTTGAGGACTAATAAAAAATTTGCAAGACTCTATTCCAATGCACAGACTGCAAATAAAACATCTAATAATTCAAGACCAGATAGGGGTCCCAGTGAAATGTATTTTCAAAGAGCTGTTGGCAGTTTAAAATAAAAATATCAATTTGCTGTACCAAAAAAACTCTAACAAAAAACCCACGAGCCTTGAGCAGCCCACTGCTTCATTATGAATTCTTGAAAATTCTGCTATGGAAAATCTTAAGTTTCTGTTGTAGATTTGGTGAAATGTAATAGCAAAGTAGCCCATTGAGAAAACAGAAGTAGGCTGAGCCTGCCACAATTTTAACAAGCCATTTCTAGCAGTAAGGCAAGCAACCCCTCTCGCTCTATGCTCTCCAGACAACAAAACTGTTGAGAAATATAAAATATGGATCAAAAGACCTCACTTTAAGCTTTCAACCGTAAACTTGGTCACCTGCATGCTTAAGTCTCTGCTGAAAAGCAGAGGTAAATGCTGTTGAAAAAGCTAAAACCCTGCCATCTTTTTTCCCAAAGAAGCAACCAGGCCCCTCTGCATGCCACTTACTTGGACATGAAAGCGCCACATCTTATTCTGGCATCGCTGCCCTCGGGGAACAGGAGCTCTGGGCTGTGCAGCACATCAACCAGCACTGAGAACTCAGCTTGCATCATGGGTGTGAACTGCTGCTCCAAGGAGGACACCACATCCTGGGGAGACAGGAGAACATCCATAACTGCAGGAGAACTACAGCAACCTGCTGTGAAGTCGCACAGTTTGGTGTGATGCACTGCTTGGCCCAGTGGGATGCCCAGCTGCAAGAGTCCTGGGAAGCCCAGCTGGCTGCAAAGCCTCCTCAAGCCTTTCTTCACACCACTCCTCATGCAGGGCAAGGGGGACAAGGTGCCCATTGTTACTCTCTTTCAAATTTCTCCTCTGCAGTAGTGCTCACAAAACCTGTGACAACAGTAAGAATAATGGTGTGCTGGAAAAAACAAGGCTCACTACACACAGTTAATGTGTCACCTCAGGTGTTGTGTCCTTGGTGTTTAGGGCACCTCCTTTTGTCTGGGTCCTGCTGTTTTCTCAGGTCATAAACTCCTGATTCTGTTTAGGCTCTACATGCACAAGGTGATCTCCATCTCATGGCAATCTCCAGTGACACAAACATGACCTAAAGCCTCCAGTATCTCCTCTGTAGCCAAGAAATGTGGCCATAAAAAGGGCAGAAAGGAGATGCTGCTCTGTGGAGAACTTCAAGGAGAACACAACTTGAATACTGTGTGCAGTTTTGGGCACCACAATGTAAGTGTTCAAAGGAGGGACATGGAGATGCTGAAGGGCCTGGAGGGGAAGCCACACATGGAGCAGCTGAGGGCACTTGGTCTGTTCAGCTGGAGAAGAGCAGACTGAGGTCAGAGCTCACAGCAGTTCTGCAGCTTCTTCACGAGGGGAAGAGGAGGGGCAGGCCCTGATCTCTGCTCTGTGTGACCAGGGACAGGACCCAGGAACAGCTGGAGCTGTGTCAGGGCAGGGTCAGGGTGGGTATCAGGGAAAGGTTCTTCCCCCAGAGGGTGCTGGGGCACTGAACAGGCTCCCCAGGGATGTCAGAGCCCCAAGGCTGCCAGAGCTCCGGGAGTGTTTGGACAGAGCTCCAAGTGTTTGGACAAGCTCAGGGTGGATTGTTGGAGGGTCTGTGCAGGGCGAGGGCTTGGACTCAATGATCCTTGTGGGACTCCTCCAGCTCAGCTCATTCTGTGATAGCTCCTACCCCTCTCTGACTTCTGCAGGAGCCAAATTCTGATCTTGAAGAGCTGAGCCTTTTCAGCCATCCCCACCCAGAAGTGCAGTGGCTCCTCTCATCCAGCACTAAAACTGCACTGGGCCTGTCTCTGGTGTTTTCCACATCGCACACGTGAGATACCTGCAGTGCCACTGCTGCCCAAGCCATTTGCTATTTCTGTACCTGCAGTTTCTCTATGATGTTCCTGTAATCCCAGGCTGGCCCACCAAGAGCTTCTTTGAAGCGAGGTCCAGTGCGGGCTGACATCCTCCAGCCCATGGCTGCCCTCTGCACCATGTTGGAGTGACTCTTCATGAACAAGGTGTTCACCTGGCTGTCCAAATCCACTGGAATTGCAATCCCACGGTTCTTTGCTTTAATAGGAAGGAAAAACACAAGACATTTACAGTGGCAAAAACTTGAAAATCTTACAGAGATCATGGCATGCGACAGGCTGATCTCGTTGAAGTTAAGGGGCAGGGTGATATTACTTCAACAGGTTTTAAAAATAAGGATCCTAAAAATAAGAACCCTTAAAAATAAGCATACCTAAGTGGTAGAAATCAGCCATAATCTAGTTAAAGAAAGCAAGCTGTACTATTTTAAATGAGATGAGAATCATTTCCAGTATGTATTTTCACAGACACAGATATTTTTTTAAACAGAATAATTTTTCTACTAACTTGAAAAAAAATCCAGAGATATTAATAAGAGTAACAAAAGGAGTATGTGTTATTTCAACAGTTAGTTTTACTCTATTCAGAAGCAAATTCTGAAATTTTTCTTTCTAGTGGACATAGGCACATTTATCCAATTTATCCCAAGTACTCTCTGTTGCTTTACTATATATTCCTCTTGTGAAGACCTTGAGGAACCAAGTGCATACAAATTAAATTTGAAAAAGACTGTCTCCTTCTCCCTGGGTTTCCTATACTGCTAAACCCTGGATTCCTAGATGGTGTCTGGATGCCACTGCAATATATCCAGTAGTTAATAAACATCTGATAGTCTAACTGATAGTTAAAAAACATTTAATCAATAGCTAAAAATTGCAATTATTTTCTTCTTTTTAGACTTCAGAGGCAGGAAATGACAATAGAGAGAGTATCAGAATAAAAAAAAAATTGGAAGAGACTTTCAGGAATTCTTGCAGGGCATCCACTATTAAATTACTATGGCATCCTGAACTGTTGTTTGAAAAGGAAGTTTGAAAGGCAGAGTTAGAAGGTATCTGCCCCCTCCCCCAGTAAAATCTCTGTGTTAGCTGCTCCTTTCCATCCCACTGGAGATCAGAGTGACATTGTTCTCTGGCTCAGCATGAGCAGTCTGAAATTCAACCAATAAACAAAAGTTTGCCCCAGCCCTGGAAATGTTTCAGGCCAGGCTGGATGGGGCTCTGAGCAAGCTGGGATAGTGGAAGGTGATCCTGCCCATGGCAGGGGATGGAGCTGGATGCTGTTTAAGGTCCTTTCCAACCCAAACCATTCTGTGAGCCTATGATCAGTATCTCTGAAAGACCAGGTTATGTTCCAGTGATTAGGCTCTGTATTCCATGTCATTTCACTTCTGTGGCACAGCTTATGTTTAATAAAAACTTAAAAATAGAATGGAGCAGTTCTAATCCATTTGTAATAATGACCAATAATAAGTAATTTTTCAGTTTTCCTTATTGAAACAAGCTGAAATTTAAAAAGCAATTAGCCCAAATTGCAGTTCTGCACAACATTTCTCTGAGGCATTTCCCCACTATTCCTCACTAACACACTTTCCACAGTGGAGGAAGGCATGAAAAATACTCCACCTCTTCCTCCCAGCTCTAAAATATATCCAGCTTTATGTCCTGAACCTGTGAAGTCAGCAGGTGCCCTTCTGTCCCAAGCAGCCCATGCCTCCAGCCCCAGGGAGGATGTGCAGGCAGAAGCACCACACAGCTCTGATGAATGAAGGCTGCAGTGCTGCCAAGCACAGTGAGTCACAGATCCCAGGCACAAACTTTCTCTTCCCCTCAGGACTAGATTGAAATGACAGCTTTTATTATAAACCTAAATCTGGCTGTGACACCTCAACCCCCAGCTTCAGAGACTGTGGCAAGGGCGTTCTGTCATGGGGACTCTCTTCCCTTTAATGGATCCCACAGGTTCAGGGCACCCTCCCCTCTTCCCACTGCAAGGCTGGATCGTGATGCAGGACTGGGGCTTCCCCCATGGATCAGGCTGTTCCACTGGGATGGAAGAGAATTCTCTAAATCCATTTCTGGTAGGCACTTTCTTTTAAATGGTTGGCCACAGGGAAGTGAAAAAAAAATTAGGTTAAGCTGGGAAGACACAAATTGACTTTTCCTTTCCACTCTCCATTTGTTTTGAAGGCAAGTTCCTGATTAACATGTGGAAAATGCCATGTATGGGTGGCCATTATTTCTAATGATTGTTTTTCCATGTAATTCAACTGGGCTGTTTTTCAAAACACATTTGCCCTGTTGCTGCCTACTTTACTAGAGAAGTCCATTAAAGTTCTGCCAGGGTGGGTAGGGTGCTGCAGCCTATTAATCCAATTTATTGTGTCCTAATGTCAATCACTGGAATGCTACTGGACAATGCTCACTTCTGAATTAAGTGGAATGTATGCAGAATCCTGATATATAGAAGAATAAATTTAGCAATGGGGAGCACACTGTTCAGAGGAGAACCCAGACTTCTGCAATCCTAGAGATGCCATTTGAAGTTAACAACTTCCATCAGTGTCTGAGGAGCAGTCAAGGACTATGATTGTTCAAAGAGTTGGAGCTAATTAAAACTATCACAAAGAAAACCAGAGAGAGAAAAAAAATATTCCTTTGTTTTGAGCAGTTCTTACATGTATAATTCCATTTGTAATTAAGATTTGTATTGGTTGTCAAAGGGCACTGTTGAAGTCTAAGCTATAAACAAAGCCTTTGTCTTCTTATTTCTTTTCAGCTTGTAGAAAGTTTATCTTTCATTTGTTTCACATTTCATTATTTAAAACTACATGAAACATATTTTTACATTTTGGAAAGCTGATGAACAAATGTGAACATAAATATTTATTTTTAATTTAGGTGTTGTAGGCTGCTTTCCTCTTCAAAATGTGTCAATCTCCCTTAAAGTATCAACATCAAATATTTAAAAGCATGTTTATTTTTGTTCCACTTAGAAATACTTTTGGACAGCACTCAAACTTGCAAAGTATGGTCAGAGCTGGTAGACAAAGGAGCCAAGATGGGGTAAAATTCTGTCTTTCATCTGGTGAATTTGGGAAAAAGCTATGTGGCTGTCTGTACGTAAGTATTCAGCGGGATACTTATCAGGATAGACTCAATGATCTTTGTGGGTCCCTTCCAGCTCAGAATATTGTGTGGTTCTGTGATGTCTTCAGCACAGGTAAATTCTGCCCTGCAGTGGAGGGCAGGTCCCAGGCTTATACAGTGCCCATTTCCCACCTAGGGCACTGTGCACAGGGCTAATTACATCCTGAATATACAGCACCATTTTGCCAGTGTCAGAGGAGATGGAATTTCTGGGAAATCCTTTAAACTACTAACTCTCAATCTGCTGCTCCCAATTATCTCTCAGCAAGAGAGCCAAGAGGAGCCAAGACAAGCGAGCAAACGCAACCCATGGCAGTGGTAAGAAACACAGCACTGCAAATTCAGCCTGGTCCCAGCAAAATGCCCTGCCCCGTGCTGGATGGGTCTGTGGGCATCCAGTGATCAGCAGCTTTCCTCCCTCTTACTGCTTAAACAATGAAAGAGAACTCAAAGACTCAAAAGAAAAGGGCACCAGGAATGCCAAGAATCAAGCAGGTAAAAATCAAGGCACTCTGGACAAGCAAGCTCCAGCCAAGTCCCAGGAGCACAGTCCAGCTGCTCCCAGAGAGGCTAAAATGGGCCCAGGTGTTATTTTGTTAAATTACCTGCATGTAGTTCTCTTCACAGGAGCACAGCAATTGGACCTATTTCAGGAATGCCTCCTGAAGTACCGTCCTTTCACTGTGCTGCTGCCTGTGTCTGAGGAGCAATTCAGTCCTAAGGATTTCCAGGAAGTGGCCCTTGCCTGTAATTTTCCTTGGATGCCCATTCTGCAGAATAATCTATCTTGCCATAAGGAACCTCGCTGTTCTCGCTATTTCCACCTACTGCTCCCTCATTTTAAATGTCACTCCATTAGCTTCTGCAGTATATACAGAACACACCAGAGTGTGGTGGCTTCACAGCTAATTAACCCTGAAGCATCCCTGGTGTGGGTTTTCAGGGGGACATGCAGGCATTTGGTCCCTCAGAGCCCCTCAAGGAGGAGTGTGCCAGGCAGTCTGGGTCAGGAAAAAGCCCCAGCTGTACCTGGCTGTGAATCCTTTGCTCTGCTCCCAGTTTACACCCCCTGGTAGTCACAGACAGCTCTATCATGTTCTCCCACACTTCCCAGTTGTCACGTAACAGAGTGATGCATATTTAGTTCAATTAATTTTGTTCCATAAATCAGTCCCTCCAGCTCCTTAATCATTTACTGACTGCTTAACAAATGCATTCAGATGGAGAGACACTAATGCTAGCGACAGCAAGACTTTTTAAGGGAAATAAAAGCTTTGTGTAGACAAGACACAAACCTGCCAATCTTGTACCCTTCACTTGGATGTTTTTTTCCAACAGAAAATCTACGCTAAAATATTTATCAGCCTGTAAAAAGATCATCATTGAATTTTTCTTGCAATTAGGGAAACACAAACAGTTAAAATAGAATAAAATATGTGCTTCATCTGAAATGTATTCTTCTTGCTGTCAAAAAAGTAACAACAGGATAATTATTTTATTTGAACTAAAAATTGAAAATGAAGGTCTAGCTTTTTATAAAATGGAAGAAAGATTTTAAAATTCAAATGGGAAGTGAAATAAACGTACTTTCATGACTGAAAAAAATTGTTATATGAAAATTCATCTATATGGACATTAAAATACACATAATCATTTCAAAGAAGCAACAAAATGTGACCTAGATTTTATGTTTAATATTTCCTATTTGTAATTTGTCAGGGAAAAGTAAAGGGCTTTAGAGGGCATAAAAGCATGGTCAAGAAGAACCAGAGGAGAGGGGTTTTTTTGATTCTGTACAAGGAGGTATTGGTGACTTTAAATTAGGGAATAAATACTCAACTAGAAGGGACTCCAGTACACCTTCAGACCATCTGCTCTCTGTTACAGACAACCCATGCTCTTTAATATCTCTGGAAAAATTTATTGAGCCCCATTTAAAATGATGGCAGCTTATCTGCCATTCCTCCTCCCTCTGCTTTCTCTCAGCCCACTGACCAAGGACATCCTTCCAAAGTGGGTTCTAATCCTCTGATTTACAATCTAAATTTATTTAGGTTATTTACAACCTAGTGTAATTTATGGGCAGTTGCTTTTGGGTCAGCACTGTCCTTCAGCTTAAACGTCTCTGTGACTATTTATCTTCTTAAGTACATTTAAAGAGCAACAACACAGGTCTGTGTTTTGCTAAGCAAAACATGTGGGGGTTCTGAATTCCCTTCCTGTAACAGAGTTCTCCTTTCCCCTGACCACCCCAACAGTGCTTCCTCTGTACCTGTTCCAGCTTTGAACTTAGGAAATAGCAATCTTACAGGGCTCACCTCAAATTGGGTAGGATGGAAACAAGAATTCTCCTCTTGCTTCTCCTGCACAACATCCTAGAACATAATCTGATAGTGACTAATGCAATTTGGCTTGCTAACAGATTTTTTTTTTAGAGGGTCTGCCAAGAGACATAGTGGAACAAAATGCAGGTTCCTATCTGGCACTGTTTACTCATCTGGGAAATTCCAATTATTTCATTATTGGTGGTCACAGCACAATCACAGACAGACCATATCCTTGGGATAGACACAGTACCAGAGGAAAGGTTCCACTTTTTAAAACATAATGGAGAAAACTAGTGGATGCTACAGAGACAAGAGTGTAAAACAACTGAATTTACCCTTGTAACAGAAAACTGATGCTCAGAGGAGAAGATATAAGAATTGCTGCCTTAATTAAGAATCAAAGATAGTTCTTTACACGGGTCCTGAAGGACTGGTCAGGAAAGACCCTGCTTCAATGCCATTTAGGATATGTAATTTAAGATATACAATCTTTGGTTGCAAGGAGAGGTGATATTGATACTGGAGAGGTCCCAGGTCTTTAGAGAAAGAGCTGGTTTAAAATGCAGACTTTGAGACAGGCTTTCACCCTTCTCAACCTTGCAAAGATCATAAAATGCATGAACTGAAAGTCCTTTGAAAATGAATTCATTTGAAATAAATTAAATGGTTGGATGTCTTCTTTCCTCTGTTTTCACAAAGGTCTGGGTATTTTTCAGTTGTTGCTATTTTACCAGGGAGATAGGAGCTGTTTTCATTATTCACTTTTTGGACTGTATTTTCAAGCAAAATCTCAGTCCTATGTAATAAAAGAGAAAAGGCCAAATGATATATGTATGTGTTCATTCTCACCAGTGTGGTAACCTGCTTCAGAAATCCATGTGAACAAGTCATGCACACACACATATATAAATACACATGTATGTATGTGTGTGTGTGTATATATATATATATATATATATATATATATATGTGTTATTTCACAAGTGTTTCTACTCAGCCAAGTAGCCAAACGTTTCTGGGGGAATAGAAACCTGGTGCACATTGATATCTGTGTTCCAAACTCCCTGGATCTGCTGAAGAAGAGAAGCAAGCCTCTATGCTTCCTGCTGAACTGGAGGCAGGAAAGTGCCTGGAGACAAAGCAGCAAGTGAGGCTTGAAAAGCTTATGCAGTTTTTCCCTGGTGGTAGAGTGGAGTTGAAGTACCAGGGTTATGAAAAATAAGCTTCTGTGAGATATCCTTTTGTTGACCTGGAAGGTAACAGACATCCTTACAGTACTCATCAGAAAACAGATGTAATGATCTCAAGCTCTTGAGGCAGTGCATCCACCTGCCAGCAACAAACCAGGAAGCACTGAGCAGAGTGTATGTTGCTTAAACTTGCTCTCAAGTGTGTCATTTTAAAAGTGTGTCATTATATGGATCTTTGATATCTTGGGAAATCTGTGTATGATCTTTCTTTCTTCCCCCTGAGATTCATTTGTAAATCCAGGGCAATGACACAAAAAAAAAAAAAAAAAAAAAAAAAAAAAAAAAAAAAAAAAAAAAAAAAAAAAAAAAAAAAAAAAATCATGTTTGCTCTTTCAGGCTTTCAGGTCTATACTCCACTTATTTTTCCTCAGAAGTCTTTGGTCCCTGCTGTAAATCTGTCCAATACTCCATCTCTCTGATATAGGCAAAATCTTTTTAGAGGTTTTTTAAAGCCTTGCTGTGAAACACAAAGGCCCTAACATTAAAACTGTAAGATTCTCAAGTCAGAAAAGGGGAAAAAATGGTCCACATATGCAGCCAACAAAAGAGCACAAGAAGGTTGCTATGTTTGTATTGGATTATGGAAGATGCCTCCAGCTTCTCAAAGTGAGGCATCATTTTGAGCAGAGGAACACCCGACGGAGAAAGGCACCAGGCACCCACTGCAATCACAGAAGGGCCTTGGCTGTAAAAGCCTCTGGTATCCCCAGGTGGGGAAGTTTTTCCAAATTTTTGCACAGGGAAGAACAGACCTACTCCATTAGCCCAGGCAAGACACATTTGTCACCATGCCTAAAAACACTGAGTATCACCTGCAGTTAAAATCTCTACTGGCCAGGCAAATTTTGCACAGGGGTGTTTGTCAAAAACTCTGCTTCCACTTCTTCTCCAGCTACCTTGCTCCTTGGGGAAATCCCCCTCACCTCTTCCCTTCTCCACTGTCAAAATAAAACACTCAATAAAAACGTGGCAATTGTCTGCCACAACACAACTTTACCATGCTGGATATTGCTATTAGTGATGAATCCCTGAACAGTTGTTAGGATATGGGCAAGGAAATCAGCAGTGCTGTGTGCTTTCAGGGAGCTGCTCTGAGGCTGCCAGCCCATGGCACCCCAGGGGTTCCCAGCCTGGGAGTTCTTGCTGCAGGGAAGCCCCAGAGGAGGACACAGAGTGATGCCCTTCCCTGGCAGCTCAGCTCTGCTCTGCCACACCTGAGAGCACCCAAGGCACAGCTGGGGGCCCATGGGTGGGAAGCCAGAGGAGCAAGAAGGAGCCGGGACTCATAGGATAGCACAAGAGCTTACTTTAAAAAAAAACAAAACAAACAAACCAACTGTAAAAACTATCTCCAGAAAAAAGAAAACAGAATGAAAGAAAGGACTGTAGTGGAGGTAGAAACTGAGTTCCACAAATAGGATACAAAGTCACATATCTGAAGCAAACTCCAGACATCAGCCATTCCTGGAGCCCCCAGAAAGGAGAGGCACACAGAGGACTGCCCAGCAAAGCCCACCAGCCCTTTCATGTACTGGCAACACCTGACATGAAGCTGGATCTGCCATTCCCTTAGGGTGACCTGTGGTTTCCCTCTCAGGCTGCTGTGGGGACAAGTTCAGCTTGGCTGTCTCAACAGGGCAGAATCATAGAATAATTTAGGTTGGAAAAGTCCTTCAAGATAGAGTCCAAGCAGTAACCTAACACCTAACAGTGCCACATCCACCACTGCACCAAGTCTCTAAGTGCCACATCTACATGTCTTTTAAGTACCTCCAGGGTATGATGACTCAACCACTTTCCAGGGCAGCCTGTTCCAGTGCTTGACAACTCTTTCCGTGAAGAAATTTTTCCTAACACCCAACCTAAACCTCCCCTGGTGCAACCTGAGAACTTTTGTTCTTGTCCTAGCACATGCTCCTTGGGAGAAGAGAAAGCCCAGTGAGAGCCTGACCTGACTCATCCAGCAATCAGCAGAGCTCTGCATTACTGGAATTTGCTGGGAATTTTTCAGGCTAGAATCAGCTGTGTGCTGTGGGCACGTAGCCAAATGGAAAATAAACCCACGCTCAGATGTCTCCAAACAGCCTCATCTTGATGAGATAACACAACGACCTCTCTGAGATAGAATTTGATTTTAGATGCAGCTCTACAGAAATGAAGACATTGAGCTGCCTACAAGCACAGAGGGCATGGTTGGTCTCAAACCTACTCTCACCTGCCCTATTTCTCCTCCATTCCCCAGACTCCCAAAGGAAGTAATTTATTGATGACTGTTTCCAGAAATGCCAGAAAAGAGCAAGGGCATAAGTGTTAAACACACAAACAAGAATTTGTAGAGATGGAGCTTTATGTGAGACCGTAGTAGTTATAGCATAAAGGAAATAAAATGTCTTCAACTTCCAAAGTTCGTTTAACAGATGGATCCCTAATTAAATCAGTTGCACAGTTGAAGGTTGCTAAATTTTTAGGTAACTGCTTATTCACATTCACACAGAAAGTTAATGAGATGTTTTGGCTAAAATGTTAAATGACACTTCTGTAAAGCTATTCCAAAAATCTAAATTTAGAGTTGATTGTTACAGGGCTGCAGGTAGCTCTGGGACCCTCTCATATTGTTTTATCATTATTTATTAATACTTTTTAATAAATGTATCAACAATAGAATTTAGCCAGTTTCTATGTATCTGCCTCTACTCAGGTTTCATCCCCAGTAAGCAGAAACTTATTCTACAAGCAACCATCACCACTGACTTTTGGAAACTACATTGAATAATCCTTTATTCTGTCAGAATAGAATGGCAGAAGACTTTAAAATCATATTTATAGAAATTTAACTTAATTAACTTTTGCCAGTCTTAGCTATGTTCTGGTGAAGAATTTTTTTCTAATGTAGGATAAGAAGTTTTAAAAAATTTATTTTAACAGGGATGCCTTTGCTAACGTTGTGATTTAATATCATAACTTGCTTGATATTAAAAAGTTAAAATCATCAAGAGTTTCAACCATCAAATTAAAATTGATGGCTGAAAGCTCAATCAGCACTCGCTTAGCAAGCTCATCCCTCTGCCCTACCAGTTTCACCCTAACAACCCTATTTGATGGGGCAGGTTTGAATGGGTTATAAAAGAAGGAAGTATTTAGCCTCAGAAAGTGGGATTTCTGAAATCACTGCTGACACAACTTCAGGATGGTAGAGTCAAATTAAAAACTGTTAAACTTCAAGTCTGATCTTTAAACACAAAGAGCAATAATCAAAGTAAAACCTGAACCTACCCACTTCAGCCAAAGTCTTGATACAGGACTCTACTGAGGCTTTCTGTGTTGGGTTTGGCCAGGTACAGTTGTAAATTCTGAAAGCAGACTGCAGCAGCTGAATAAAAACAGGCTGGTGTGTCTGAAAACAAAAACAAACACAGAATTTTACCCTTAAGGATCTCCTCACAGCTGCCATAGGTTTTGACACAACGTAAACCAAGAGGATTTTAGCTTGTACACTCAGGTTATGGTTCCATTAAATTCTCTTTGATCTTTAGGTCTGGCAGGAGCAGAAATCAATGCTGCACCTCTAAAAAGGCCAAATCATGCAATTTTTCCTTAGATTGCTTCTGATATCAAGCAAACACAGTACACACCACAAGGACAGAGGAGTTTTTCCCATTCTCCGGCGTGTGTCCCTTCTGTCACAGGACACAGCATCTCCCACAGGACACAGCATCTCCCTCACACAATGATTTTTCTACAAGGATATCCCCTCCAATGAATTCACAAGAGGCAGAACTAACTCTGACCACATTGAGCTGTCTATTGGTTAAAGATGCAAGTGACTAAAATGAAGAATAAAGTGTTTTAAAGAGGGATTAAGCTGGTAGTCAGTGGCGTGAGAGGGGACAGAGAAATTAAAGGAGGATGAAAAGAGACAGCATTCCTATGCAGGTAGCAGAAGGTATCTCATTAATGGTCTGAATAGCTGATTTGTCTGTGTCTCTTCTCCTTACCTGGAGGCTGGTGCTGTTATCTGAAAATGGTGAATTGAAGAAGCCACTCACAATGCTCATGACAGGCTCAGTGACATATTTCTCCAGAGATGTGTCTGCGTGTTTACGATCCGTGGTTGTGTTACAAACCTGCAGAGAAGGAGGAGGAAACAATGAGATTTAGTTCTCCCCAATAAGCAAGCTTTGTTATTTTGTATTTATTACAACACATCTGATATTTCTTCTTAAAGTAAAAACAAAACATTTTTATATAGTATCTATCAGAGAGAACTATGTTAGAGTTGAAGCTGGATTTGTTATAGCTTGTCTTTCTTCTTGGAGGTCCACCCTTCTCTTCTGAACTAGTTCTTTCTGGCTGCCTGCCTTTTCTTTCCCAACCATGAAGAAAAGATCCCCCTAAATCAGCACACTGCATGCCACTTACACATTTAGACAGATTCAAGAAGAAAATGGACCTTTCCTCCCATTGCAGGGCTGGTTGGAAGATGCTTCAGAGACAGATGAGACATAAACAACTCAGGTTAGAAAGATTTCATACAACATTTAGCTTCTCTCAACAATTAATCACCACAAGTGGGTGGAAAAGGTGAAGCTCATTTGCAAGAAAAATGTTTAAAAGGAGGGAAGGAAGGGAAACAGCACACTCAATACCAACAGGCTTTAGGATGGCACTGGAAGAGAGGCAGCATTTCTTTGGGAAGCCACATGAGGAAAATACAGAAGCCAAGCTGAAACAATGAAAGAAGGGAATGGATGATACCAGGACAGCTCTGGAGCACAGAAGGATGATTGAATGGTGGGAGGAAGTGGGAAGATTTGTACAAAAGGTTCCTGAAGACTCCCTTTGGTACAACACTTAAAGTTTGTTGCTGCATAAAGATGTCACACTTAAAGAAAGGGAAAATTTACTGGTGTGGATTACATCCTTCAGTATTTCCTTTATTTCTCTTCAACACTTTTGAACATCTATACAGAGTCATGTTGACTTTGCATGTGTCAGTTACACAGTACTGAAAGGAGTCTACAGAGAGCCAAAAACAATGAGAGAGGCAAGACTGGACAAATAAATAGTACAGACTGTAGTCATACTACCTCTTCAACAGCCTTTGAATAAGCAGTTGTAGTCATGTTTAACAAGAAATGAAGGCAGAGTTGTTTTCTCTTTCACCTACACAAGCCAGAGATGACTGTGATGTTCTAGGGAATCTATGCAAAAGCAGAATTTATTTTGCACACAAAAATTCCAGGGATAGGAGTCATTGTCATCTGTGCATTTAATACATAACCCCAAACCTGAGTGGCACACACTTACCATTACATCTCTTCAGGGATAGGGAGTCCAGAGAAGCTGATTGAATTGCTTAAGGTCACAGGGAAAAGTTGGTGACAGAAGCAGAGAGATAATCCACAGCACCTGAATCTCACACAGGGCAAAGATGCTCTCTAATTACACACTGCCACTGTCACTACAAGACAGCAATTTCACCAGGAATGTTTTAAGGAAGTCTACTGACATGACATCCAAAAGCACCTGTGTTCAGGGTATGCTAGAGCTCAGGGGAACACAGAAGCACTTTGGGTCTAGCACACAAACATTGTCATGCAGCAGGCAGAAGAATAACCAACGATAACTTCAGACCTAGACAAATGAGGCATCTTGAGGAGTTTGCTTGTCTACTTATCTAAAATGTGTCAGATAAATCAGTCATGCCTCCACAGAGTGCATTTTTTTATCACCCCAGGAAAGATTTTGGGCAGAGAAGCAACAGTGGCTAAAATGAAACAGTAAACTTATCAGCCCTTCTGTTTTGGGAAAAGGGTAACACCACCACCACCCGCTATCCTTCTGAAGGTAAATGATTCAGTTATTAATCAAAACTTGTTAATTTTTTTTTTTAAGAGATCATAGAACTAAAAATCTCTGGAAGTTCTTTTGCTTCTAATTAATCTGCATGCCAATTTTGGCTGGAACCAGTAGCTCTGAGCTCAGCATTTGCAATCCCAATAGGAAGACAGGGAGCTGTGCAGTGCTAGCACAGTGAATGCAGAAATCACCAAAACTAAATTCCAGAACACTTTTAAGCTTTCCCCTTCAGCTGCCCGAAAGGCAGAGCCATATGTGGGAATGCCCCTCTGTTCAAACACTGGTCTGAAAAATTTCCAGCACAGAAGGAATTTGGAAATCCTCTCATTTGTTCTTATCCCTCTGCCCTTTGGGGATTGAAAGATCTTCCTCTGTGGAAGAAAAAAACAAAAACCTGAAATGCATGAAATGGAGATGAGGATTGAGAAAGCAGTGTTTAAAAACCCCTTAAGAGGCTTTGGGACCAAAACTCACATGAATAATACTTCAAAAATTCTGCGGAGAAAGCCAGGATGACTTTACAGCTGTCAGATCCTCGGCTCTTGTCTTTAATCCTGCTCAGACTACAGCTGCTGACTTACACAGGCTGGGCCACACACAGGAAAGGGAAGCCTTTCCTTCAGCAGCACCCACTTTGCTCAGCACAAGGCTGTAAGTCACACCCAGCAGAAAGTAGGTTGGCAGAAGCTGTAGAAGCAGGGAGCCTTTGAAAGCACGACAGCTTTTGGCAAACCCAGTTTATACACGGATCCGCCTCGTGGCTGCTTTGCAATGTATGTTGTTGAAAGGAAAATGACAGCTGGGGACTAAATATTTCCTTCCTCAATCCAGAAACAGATTTTAAAAATCAGTTACTTTTTTTTTTTAATATATATATATCTAAAACAGAAGGAATCCAACCTGAGGATAACACTCTCCGTCTTTCACCTTGGTGCTCTCCAATAACAGACTCAAAGCTCACAACCTCACCCACTGACAGGCATTTGTAGCAGCTAAAAGAAAAGCATTTCCCCTTCCCCCATGCAAAAGCATCCCTTTTAGCTCACTGGAACACAGAGGATCAAAGGGCTCTTTTTCTAAATGCTTTGAAAGCTATTGTAACATCTTTCATGAGGCTGACAGCATTCTAACTGTCCTGATAGCTACAGAACGCTGATGTATTTATAACACTTGGGCTCTGTTGGGGCCCCAGAGCACCAAATCTGAACAAATACACTCCATAACCTGGAAAATACAGCTGTCCATGGCTGAAGAGCAGGACAGGCCAGAGTACTTCTGACACACTTGCAGGAGAGCAGAATAAACCTGCATTTTGCCAACAGCACCCGCGCACAAAATGCAGCATTTCCCCTCTTCACCTCTGAAGACCTGGGGTCTAATTTCTCTCAGGAGAGAGGTGTGTGAAAAAAAGCTCAGTGGTCACCAGCATCAGGACAAGCCCCCAGCATTTAGCACAGTGCAGTTTGTCTCCAGGCTCATGAGAGGAAACCTGGACAGAGCCCTCTTTCTACTTGTCTGCTTCTAGCCCAGGGGCACAGAAAATTGGCCACGTTCAAGGGCTAGGGAGGAGGGATAGTCTGTTTGGAAAGTCAGGGTCAGGACACGTCAGGAAAGGGCAACCCAGAAAGGGAATTAAATAGAAGAAAATACTTCTTGAGATAAAACCAGTAAGGTTAAAAGTCAGAATGCTCCTCCAAGGATGTTTCTCATCTTAATTTTCAACCCAGGTTGTTTTTGTCTAGGAGGGCTTTCACTGTGTAACACAACCACAGAGACAAAGCAGCAAGAAAAGAGGGTTTGTACAGGACTAATTACTGCTGAAAATGGCTCCCACCAAAAAAAGAGAGCACAAACATCCCTGCCTCAACCTACTCCCACGGAAAAATAAAAAGGTTAAAAAAAAATACAGCAAAGCAAAACCAAACCAACCCCCCCCCCGCCAAAAAAAAAAAAAAAAGGAAAGGAAAAAAACCCACAAAAGAAAAAACCCAACCATATAAACCATAGATAAGGTTTCTGCTTCACAGAAAAAAATGAACAGGTCCCAGTAACTATTGTACAGCATAAGTCTTTGTATTCCTTCTTCTTTTAGCCAAAAATCATTGTATTTTCTCCTAATAGGTCTCACAGGAATTATTTTGTGGCACACTGTTACTTTGGGGTCATTTTCAGCTGCAGGACCAAACTGAGATTCTTTACCTTTTCTCTTCATTTCAATGAAATGAAGAATGCAAGGAGTGAGAACTTAAGTATTACAAAATGTAATGGACCATGAACTGGGAAAAACCCCAAAAAACCCATGGTTCTACTTCTTGAGCAGAGAGAGCAACACCATTGTTTGTCATTAATATTGTAATTATTTATAATTACAAGAAGCATTAACCTCCTGGAAGAGGATGTGTAGTGCAGGCTATAATCATTACATCACACCAGCTTCCCCTTATGGCTCTACTACTGTATTTAATCCCTGTGGAAGTCATAAGATTGCTCTTGTTTTCTGCCTTCAAAATCCCTGGGAACGAAGCTTAATTCAACTTGTAGCTTAAATTTTAATTCAACAAGTACTGACACCATGAGGCTCACTGAGGACCACAGGAAGGGCAGGCCTGTGGTACTGATGTGCCCTGTCCCCTTGCAGCTGTAATTTATATTTGAATTAGTATTCTGAGGGACCACAGCTCTACACCTGCCTTTCACATCGGCAGTGAGAATGCAGTGACAGGAGAATGAAAGACAAAAATAGAGACTAAAGAAGGAACATGAGCCAGAGAAGATCTTGATCCCTGATCCTCACTATAACAACAGAATAAAGGAAGAGATTACAGGTGGGGGGTTTTTTAGTCACCACCATTAATGACATGTATTGCACATCCCAAAAGATGTATACAGGCTCTCCACCATGTACACACCCCCAGTTTATTTCTTTGTAAGAAAAGAGAAAGGCATGGGTTCCAAGATGCCCTTTTAAAAAGAGAAGGCTACTAGTAATTAGCAGGTTAAATGATGATAAAGATCATAGAAATGACTGTTTGTTAAACAAACAAACCAACTTTGAATACAAAATAAAAGTTCACAAAAAAACCCCATTACTGCCAGTTCAGTTGTCACCCCTGACCATTCTGTAATATTTAACACCTGGTGAAGCTTACCCTTGCCATATCAACAAGGAAGTTCTCAAAAAGTTTCCAGATATGGTTACTGGCATAGATTTCTTTCATTTCCACTTCAGTGTCCACATAACAGTGGTTAACAAAATTAACATAGGCAATTTTCACCTGCAGGAACAGCAAAACCACAATCACTATGAAATGGAACAGTAAAAACAATTAATGTAATGTTTTCTATCTGCAAAAATACTGAAACATAAAGATGAATCTTCCATACTAACAAACATTCATAATCATAATAATGCACATGTTTGGTTCTGAAGATTTAGGGAGAAGCTGGGCAACACATGCCTTAATGTGTTTACTGAAAGACCACGGGAAGAAAAATGAAAAGGTTTTGCAAACCTTACTCTAATGACAAAACCCCCACAAGACAAAGCAGTAATGATTCTGGTATTTAACTGATATTAAGACCAGCAAGGCCTGGCTCCAAAGCCAGAGGCTGTCAGAATGCAGGACACTCTGCACTTACTCTGCACTTGCCAGTTGACTGTGGTAGGTTGAAGCCTTGTGACAGGCTTGCCAAGTATAAAATGAGAAGTCTTTTGCAGAGCTGGGACTGAAGTCCTTGTATTTCCACAATCCTAATGCAGCACTTGCATTTGGGATCTAAATGGCAGAGAAAGGTTGTGGTGCACTGGGACTGCAGCAATGGCAGCACAAGCTTAGGAGGAGGACATGCCAGGACTCCTCTCTGGCATGACAAGTCTGCATGTGCACAGCATAAAAATGGATACCCAGTGCCCAAAAATGTATAGATTAAATATAAACATATGCAAATGCACTGAAAATTTCTTAGCACGGTCAAGGGAGATGAGATAGTTCCATATGTTTCATGCAGTGAAGGGAAAACTCAGATCAGACCTTTAGGTTTCTTTTGTTTGGGATTTTTTTTCTAATTATCATCTGTTGAAATTAATGTTAAGGAGAACTTTTGGGCAAAGCAAACATATTTCTTTTCAGCAATAAGATCATTTGATCACAAGAGCAATTTTCATGGCACAGAGGGAGTTTTAACTCCTGCAAGCCCCAGTTCTGTTGCTTGAGCTCCATTTTCCCACCAGATACTATCACAGTCCTACTTCGGCATGACACATCCAGAATTGTGCCTTCATCTGCAGTGAATAAAAATATTTGCTGGATTGCAATTGAGTTTAATAAAATCAGACTTCACCCAAATTCCCACTGAGTTCAGCATGGACAGAATTTAATCTATCATTTCCAAGAAATTCAGGCAATGGCAAAACATTGGCTTAACCCAGCATTCAGCTGGGTCTTCACAGTTTCAGCCAGAAGTTAAGAGTGCATTAAACTCTGACAGTGGCTGGACAAACCCAAAAGAAGGTGTCTGAAAAGCTGACAAACAACACATTAAGGACAAGGAATGTTCTGTAGAATAAATACTGTCTATCCTTTCTCACTTATTCACTTTAAGAAGCACCACCCATTCCTAGCCCATTCCCTGTGCAAATATTCAACTTGTCAGTGCATTATAACAACAAAACATTGTCTGCTTTCTAAAAATGCTAAGTCTGCTTGCTCCTGCCATGAGGGATCTTACCTCAGGAATGCAGTCATCATGGGTCACTACCCTGACAATATCATCCAGGGGCAGCAGTGAATTGCACTTGATCTCTGTGTACACATTCTTGCCCTCGGTGCAGGCGGCCAGCAGCTCCACCAGAGTGATGTGATAGGCCAAGGGGCCGCTCTCGTCGGCTCGGTCTCGCTCCGAACACATCATCTGCAGCAGCACTGGGAAGGATGCTCTGTCATTGTAGAATATCAGCACATCTTCACCACCATTTATCAGCTGAGAAAGAGAGCACAAGGTTCTGAGCACCCTGCACTGCAATCATTTTGGACTCAATGATTCTAAAGGTCTTTTGCAACCTAAATTATTCTATGATTTTCTTAGTTTCTTATTTTATCTCTAAGTATGTGAAGATTCTCTAGCTAAAACCCAAACAACAAAACAAAATTTACTCTGATATGGTTTGCCAAATGAACATGTCAAAACAATATCCAAGGCAAACTTCTGCTCTTATCAACATAAGTGCAAATCTGGAATAACTCACCAAGGAATGCACTAATGCAAGGCAAATTTGAGGCTTAACTTCTGTGTAGCTCTGTCTTTACCTAAGACAGCATGCCATCCTTATTATTCCTACCATGTCAATGTTTGTGTGAAGTTAATTAATTATCCTCACCTCCTGCTAGGAGGCCAGGATGCATTATTATCCCTGTTTCATAGATGAGCACTTGAGGTGCAGTGAGATTAAATCTTCCACACTGCCTCACACAAAAACCCTGTGGCTCACCCAGAATTGAACCCAACTTTTCCCCACCCTTGCTCAGTATTGGAAACAAAGGGAGATTCTTCCCACCCTGTGCAAATTTGGCAGGTAGGTCATGACTTTGTCAGTGTCATGTCAGCACTTTCATTTAGGAGAAAACTGGTGTATGTGCTAAATGTTTGATTCTGCTACAAGTGCTCTGCTCAGGAGGATCCAGAGCGGCGCTGGATGCGGCAGCCCCATCTCAGCACATCTCACCGAAGAGCTTTGCTCTAATCCTGTTTGGAATCCTGTCTCCATCACTGTCCTTTGAAGCACAATCCAATCTCAGTGTGGGTGAAATAAGCTCCCACATACCCCTCCTAGTACAGAACAAACCCTGGCAGCTCAAAAATCACACTTATTTTGTGAGTTAGGCACTTGACCTATTCCAGTCCATATGTGACATGAAATCCCAGCTTATTCAATTCAAGGGTAGTCATAAAGGTTGCTGGAGCTGCTGAGAAATGGGAAAGCAGCAAGAACAGGAATTAAAATTAGTCTCCCAGAATGAAAAGTCAAGAAACATTTCATTACACTTTCCAGGGTTTCAACACTTCAAATTTTGAATTCACAGCATTTCTGTTTGTGCTTTCCCTGTTTCTTGCTTATTTTTACTTTGACATTTGGCTGGAGTGAATTGTGAATTCAGTCTCTCCTGCAATTCCTATTTCTCATTTATCTTTGAGTTTCTACAGTATTTCTATACCAATGACTTTTCAGACATTTTCTAGACAATCCACAGTACAGAAAAAAATAATTTAAAGGGATGAGAGCTTAGGAAAAAACAACCCAGCAACATTTTCTGCTATGAAAGTATATTTTCAGGAAGTTTAGAATTCTATGGTAATATAATGAAGGATGTCCAGTATTGGAGCAGCTGATGATACTGAGCAAAATATTACTCCAGAATACTACAGGTAATAGAAAACTCTGCTGCCACATTGATTCTGGCCCAAAGTAAACTCTGTTTTCTCTTCTGTAATAGCGTTTGCACTGATAACTTCAAAGTCTGCTTGTAATGAAAAAAAGTGCCCTAAGGAACCTTTCACGTTGGTAAACATCATTGCAGACATGGAGACCAAGGAGATGAGAACAAGGAAATCAGCCAGATTGGGGATGTCCAATGGATTTATGACAGTATTCTCTTGCCATGGTGCTCCTTCATCTGCATGCACTTTCTAGAACATGTAAATATGAGGATTATCCCTCACTCCCAGTAAATGGGAATAAGCTACAATGTACTTCCCGTGGGTGAAAGAAAACACAGGAGGAGCTGAGGAAAGCTGTAGAGTCATATTCTATCTTGTCTTGTGGTAAATTGTTTATGTGCCCCATCTGGAGGCACAGAAAAAGCTACAGCACTTGTTTAAGGTCACAAAGTACATCTCAGTTGTCTGCAGAGAAACTGTCCCAACTCAGTGGCAAGTTCCAACCATTTGTTCCCTTTAGAGTGGATTGCCACTCAAGTACCATTCAAGTTTCACAATTAGCATCCTTTTCTAAGAAATCATAATTACTTACCTGCAATTTCCTACTTTTTGAAAAACAGATCATTATCTTACCCTATTTCATCAAAACAGGGTTGCTCCCTCCCCCCAGGAAATTCCTGCAGGACTTATGATGTGAATGCTGTATCCAAGTTCATTTGTACTTTTGTCATGGAGTTAGCTTGGAAATGTAATATGACAGTTAATCATTGTGCTGCTACAGGTCAATAGCAAAATATATTGAAATTGAGAAAATTCTGAAAATTTTGTTTAATTATTACAGAAAACCTCTGTAAGAGCCTTTGGTGGAAGCAGAAAAATCTAAAACCACAAAGGCACAAGAAGTGTTTGAATTATGTAAATCAAAGGCTTGTAATTGATATTGCATGTTAAAATACTTCAGTCAAATTGAAAAGGTTGAGGTGAATTTCATTAAAGGTTATCCATGTAGGCAGGAGTTTTATTTTCCTAATTAGAAGTTTTTCCTCTTGTTGCTGTGGAATAAAATTTCAGTGGGATTTCGTTTTGTTCATACCACAAAAAACTAAAATTTATCTCTTATTTCTTTGTGAAGATGCCTTTTAAAAAACCAAACCAAGCCAAAAAAAAAGCACTTTGTAAAGTAAATAAAAATGTTCCTTGGACTCTAATCCAACCATGACTTTTCACCATATTCAACTTTACCCACTTACTAATCTCAAGGAACTGTTAACATAATTACAGTTAAATGCACAAGTGTCTGCAAGTTGAAGACTTCATTTATCATGCTCACAATATATCAAATCCTAATTGCAGAGAAAGTCAATTACGTATTTTCCTAGGAAATTTATTGGCATAAAGATTTTTCCACAAACCACTTGGTTGAATGTACTGGATCCAGCTAGTTAAAGCTAAAGCAGCTCTACTGACCCTCACAGAAATGCTCTGAAATAAAACAAAACAAAAAAAAGGCAGAAACTAGGATCTAGAATTGCTACATGTTAAAAAAAAAAGGTCTACAACACTATTTAGACAAATCCATAGAGGTAAGAGCCTCTTGTATGGCAAACCCATGCCACAAGAGTGGGTAAAAGTGATCCTAAATTACATTACAGGAAAATGAAGGTTTATGTAACTCTCAGATTTCCATGCTACATCATCTACAAATAGACATCTCTGTATCACCATGCTAACACTCATGTTTTCTTTCTAGTAGTTATACAGATGGCCTTACAAAATTAGATCAAACTCCCGAAAACGTCTGCTAAAATATTCATTATTTGTGACGCCGCTTAAAATTCTAAAGCGAGGATGCCATTATATCTCATTGGTATCAAGAGCAGGAAAAACAGCCTCAAAATACTCAAGTGATTAACATGTGAAGCCTTTGCTTACCTCTGTCATTACCATGTCCTGGCACTTTTTCACGTATTTGCCATCTGCTTTCACGATGGTCTGCAGGAATCGCAGGTACTCCACGTGCCGGCCGTGGGTCTCGATGCAGTGCACAAAGTGCTGCACCACTCTCTCGCTGATCTCGTTGCACAGGAGGTAATTATTCATGAAGATGTGCCTCATGGTCTCAGCTTCCAGGAGCTGAACAGATCAAAAACAGCCTCATGAGCACAGCAGATCTGCTTTGAGACTGAGAGAGGCACGGGATTCTCAACTAGAGGAAGGCTCACTGCTAAAGGGAAACTGGAGAAATCCTTTTCAGTGATATCAGGGTCCAGCTTTCAGTTTTGAGGGGATTTCTCCACACTTCCCTATGAATATAAACAGTCTTAAAATGGGCATAAACCAAACCTGTGTCCATGTGGAATGTGAACACACACACACACACTACACTGCTAGAGTACTCAGCAGGGGCTTAGGAATATGAGACACCTGAGACCACCCTGGCACCACTCACCATCAAACTTTGCAATGAGGCCACCAGATGAGATGATGAGCTGCTCTGGCTCTCTCTGGGGCTCAGAGAGGATGCATTTCCAGCAGGCAAATCCCTGCACATGCAGCCTGAGGTCTCAAAGACAATAATGTCTCTTTCCACACTAACTCCAAAAGAAGCCTAGGGCTGTGTATCCGTGAGCAGCATAGAACAAGAGGAACAGATCTGGAGCAAAAAGGGATTCTGCTGAGGACACAGCACCCAGACTTTGTGCATTCTTGGGGCTTTTGTCCTAGGTTGGTCCCTTGGACTAAAGGCTCCTGAGGGTCAGGTATGCTCCTAAAGTATACATGTCTGTTTAGCATCATCTAATAGGAATCCACATCCATTCTCCACAATGTGCACAAAAGCACAGTAACTGGGATGGATGATCAGGAAATCAACTTCAAAAGAACAGAAATACGAGTGCAAGCTGGCTCCACACTTTGCACCCAAGTTAAGTGTCAGCATTGGATGTGATGGAATCCAGGCTCTGGTTCACACTGGGGTCAGCTCAGAGCTGCTCACTAATGTCACAAAAGAGAATAAATAAAAAACAATGGAACAAATATTCCTAAAGTGCACAGGCCAGGGTCTGCAATCCTCATACTCACAATTCCTTCTAATAAAAGCATGTTTTGCTCATCACTGAGCAAGTGTCATTCTATATGAATATGTCTGTAAACACACACACAAATATATACAAAGGGATTGTGACAAAAAGGTGTATTGTAAAGACAGTGATTAAATATTAGTTGAATCAAATGAGAGCATCATCAACAAAAATGGGTGAGTCTGATTCTGTTGTTGCACAAGGTTTATGACAGCAGTCACAGTATCTTCTACCTTGATTTTACAGTCCATCAGTGAGTGAGTCAGGATGAATAAGATCAGAGTCAAGTTCAAGACAAGGATGTAACACATATACATAGATCTTTCCAGTAAACCCCCCAGGTTCCTTGGTTTTTATTTTCCACTTTTAAAATGGCAACATTAAAGCCAATGACATAAAAAGCAACACTAAGGGAAATGAGAGAGGAGAGGGGAGGCATAATTTAGTGAAATTATTTGTTTAGCACTGGGATGTTTCAGCAAACCCAAATTTAATTCCAATTATCATATTCTATTTCAAATAAAATACTTACCCCTGGAGTTAAGAACAAGTTGAGATTTTTGTGGAGGAGAACTTGATTCTGAGGATTTCCTCGGCAGAAATTCTGAAGAAAAGTGTGGGCTAGATTCATAACTTCATTCATCTTTTCATCACTCTGCAGGAAGTAAGGACAAACAAAATCAGCTGGTTATACCTAAACATACTTGTTAAAACCACACAACATCAATTCAGCCAGGAATAAAAAAATCCTCCTGAGCCTTTATAGGGCAGGAATTCTCCCTCTGGCAAAAGTAACTAAAGCAGTTTCCTTCATAGTCCATTAGCTGCTGTACCTTACTCTAAATCAAACCATAGAGAATCATAGGTAGGAGCACAAAATCAAAGTAAGATTTCTTCTTGTGTGGCTATAATTTCCTAGCTTTAAAAAGTGCTAATGTGCTTGATTTAAAAGAAAGCAAAACAAACCAAAAATGTCGCTCTGCATTAGTTTTAAGCTTTGGCAAACATTTGGTTTTCTATAGCTACATCCAGAAACAGATGTATGTGTGCATGTGTTCATACACATACTCCCACACAAACATATCTCTAGTTTCATCCCCATTTTATATTCCTCTCATGTAGTATCCTAAGTATGATTTGATGAACCACCTGTATGGACAAGCACTGTTTTACTGATGACAGCTGAACTAGTGTCTGTAATATAACATGCAGGAAAACACAGCCCAGCAAAGGTTTTACCTCCTCTCAGTGATTCCTAGAAGATCTAGAAAGATGTGCTCTTTCAAAGCCTATCTAGTTCATTAGTTTGTATGCTTAATTCTACCAAATCAGTACCAAATAACTGTATCTTGTGAAAAAAAAATGGCACATGGATTTAGGTTAGAGATGTCCACCATAAAAAAGAAGTTATTTCAGATTTGATCTATGAAAGCTTTTGGTCCTGAGGTTTGCCTGCTTCAGGAATGAGTACAGGAATGACAGCACTGTGACATCTAGGTACCCAAGGCAGTAAATATTAAATGTTAAATAAAACTGTGCAGGCAGCTGTATTTAAACTGAGCCCAAACTCACTATTCTGAAGGTAGAAAATGACATCATCATTTCACGTTTGTACCACAGCTGACAATTCAGATTTTAAAAAATATTTCCATTGATACTTGGGCCTGTCGAGGCCTTTCCCTTCCTTGAGTTTGTGTTCTCTACCACTAAAATTAGGAAAATAACCTTTTCATAGGGGATCTGCAGAAGGTCCAAGACTACTAAGTGGGCGCCCATATTTTTCAGTAAACGCTGCTGTTGATTCCGACATTTTTTATTCTGAACACAAAGTTTGCTGAGTCGAATCAAAATCTACAAATTAAAAAACAACAAACCAAACAAATAAATAAGCATGCAACCAAGAAAAGAAACCAGTCATGTCACACAAAACCAAACAAAGACATTTTATTTCAAAATAATTACTAAATCTACTAATCTAACAGGTATGTCAAGCAAATTTCTTGGCAGATATACTAACCTCTTTAACAATATTGTAGTTATTGCTTTTAATGCTGTCTATCTGGGGTTTTTTGGTCCCATCCTGTATTGGGCTCAAAATGTTTGATTCCTGTAATAAAGAACACATGACAAGTGGAAATTTATTGCAATTTCCTCAACATGAATTAATTGTATTTAATAGCAGCAAGTGACAAAGTATTACAGCAGCTCATAAGGGATTGATATAACACAGATAATAAAGAAAGACTCGTTTTTTCTTTATCCAGTGAGTGACAAGATTTACATTCAAGTCCTTCCTCTGATTCAAATTTCCAATGTAATTTGAGGCAATTATTCTATGTCTTCATGCTTCTGATCATTCTGAAGGAGTATGTCCCTAAATCAGAGATTATGTACACCAAGGAATTTAAATACTTCAAGGAGATGTACCAAAAGTGTATTTCAGTAGTGACCAAACATTCCAAGAATCTGTATTTACAGCTGGAAAGATTACAAAATCTGTGTATGTGAAGACTAATAAGTCTGGAGAAAGAGCTTAAGACAACCTTTGCAGTTAAGCAGGTTGGAGTTCTTAAAAGGAACAAGCAGCATGTGGAAATTAGAGATGTTCCTCCCACAAAGGGGATGCTTCCGCCTGTATCTCTGGATGATGCAGGAAAAGATTTAAAAACAAATAGGAACCATATGTTAAACTGCACCATCAAGTCATGATGCTGTATGCTCTGGGCCCTGGCTCCTGGAAAGCCCCAGCTGGGTATGATAAATAAGAGAAATCAAGTCAGCAAGGAACTGCCAACACCCACGCACCTTTCCATGCATATCTCTCAATCAAAACATGGGAGAACATGTACACAAATACTGCCACTAAGAATACTGGCAGTGTTGGGGGTTTTTCTGTCAGCTGTGGTAAGTCTTTCTTAACAGGAAACAAAAATAAATTGAAATATTTATTGGACTTCGGATGCTGACGCTATAAAGAACGAAGAAAAAAATCTAGCAGATCTTGAGACTGACTCACAGTATGACCACAAGGATGTAAACCAGTATAACAGCATTAAAAAAAAAGAAGAAACAGGTGCATTTCTGAGTTTCATTGTGTCCTCAAACTTCCTACTGTTTTAGAAAAGAGAAATACACTAAAACAAATATATGCATGCCAAGCTGAATGTTTGTATGTCCTGAAACCTCTCTCTGAACTTTCTTAGCTGATGGTGAAGTTCAGTAGTTCTATAAATCCCATCTGGTCCTAATTTCCAGTGAGGTAAGAACAGCTGCACCACTTGGCCATGGAAGCTGTTTATAAGAGTGTCAGCACTGCTGTTCAGTGCTGATCTATGCAACAACAGTGGATTTTATTTGGTTAGGTTTGTTAGTATGCAGACTGCTATCTCTCTAGCTGTTTGAATCAATACTTTGGGAGATGTTTCAGGCTTTTTGCTATAATTAACCACCCTCCTCCATTCTGGGATTGTGGGTTAACCAAGATTAATTTACCTGTTAGTTTTATCAGCATTCTTCCTTCATCAAAGTAGTTTTATAATCCATGTGAACTGTATGTCTTATCTGGAAGTACTGATGAGCATTAAACTGCTGAATCTATCCTTTCTTCTTACAAAATAAACAATTGTTTATTGAACCCATAAGAATATGCCAGGGATGTAGTTACCAAGAGATAATCACACCACTGGGATATCAAAGGCACTCAGTTGCAGATCTGGCCTCATTATGCCCCATGACAGACATTCCCTGTCACACTTTTCCACAGGGGACAGGCAAGCATAGAGATCTCAGGGAGAAAGGTTCTCACCTGAGCACCCCACTTTAAGGAAACTGTATTTTTTGGAAGAGACTACTCCCTCTACCCATAAAATTCCTGGAATGACACTGCATCAGTCTTAGATCCTTTCTTGCTAGCTGCCAGAGGAGACTCAGATTCCAGCATTCAGTCTGAGCAGTCTCCCTCATCCCAGCAGGACAGCAGTGCAAGGCACGTGTCAGTGTCCCCATGGCACAGCTCTGCCCTCCACAGGCTCCACCAGGGGAATGAGGGACACACTCAGAGAATTGTCAGTTCACAACCTCAACCTTTATGTGAAGTTTGTTCAAACATTCCCAGAACCAAAGCAAGGTGTCACAGACCAGAAAAGAAGGGAAGTAAGGGAACACCAGGTGCTTACAGGTGCTGAGTTTAGACCACTTGAAGCCTCGCTGAACTTTCTCAGCAGATGGACAAGATGAGGAATTCCCATAACGCCACTGCACTCTACTCCAGCTTCACCTTAAAGTCCTTTCACTGAGCCTGTTTCTTTTCCTCAGAGCTGCATTTCTGGTGCCACATCACCAAACATCCTCCAGGGACAAGACAATAAAAATCACACTTTCCATGGTCTGTAGTATCTACACAGACCCAGAACACCCTTCCTAGAGAGAACCAAGTGAACAGGTTTTATCTGATTTCCCCTTTTCAAGGAGGGCTCTTATGTGAGCTCAATTTCAGCATTTCTTCCTAACCCTATTGGTCTCTCATTTATGTCTGACATAACTCCAAGTACTCTTTCCAACTCTGATCTCCAGTCCCTATCCAGACAGTCCTGCATGGATGTAAGAAATCTGGATACTTTTATAAGATTAAGGCCTTTTTTTTCTACAAATCCTATTTCTGGAGTCATATGACTTTAAAAAATAAGAAAAAAAGGCTCACAGGTCATGACAGTAAGGTGAAAAACAATTACCTAGGAAGACTCAGGCAAAAAAAAAAATTGTATTTTTACTCTTATGTACACCTTTCAACAGGCTTCATGTGACAACAGAAGCCTGTTGAAAGGTTTAACAGAAGAGTGTTCTGGAATGTGATTTAAGCCCTTGTGCACACTTTAATATGTTTGGGAAAAATTCAACACAGGCAAATGAGGCATATTCCCGAAAGACCCAGAGGCTCATCCAGCTCTGAATACCCAGTATCCATTCCAAGGAAGCATGGATCTCATGGGATTTTTGTCTGCTTAAAGCTAGCCACCTGCTTCACACATTGCAGATTGTGCCCAACATCACACCTCCTACATCTGATTTAAGACCTCAGAGAGAGTACTGACTACCTGATATTACTTTTTTGCCAGGTAAAAACACCTCTTCACTGTTAAAGAAGAATTTAGCTGGGAAAAAAAAAAAGATGGACAAGATTCTGAGCTATTGTAACCTGGCACAGCTCTCGGGGAATTACCAGCAGATGATCTAGCCAGCAGATTACATATTACTGCTCTGATACAATAATCTCTCTGATCTGCCAGAGATAATATTGTGCATCTACTGAAGCACTGCTAATCCATACAGACCCACAGGTGCCTCATGGGAAAAAACCATTCAAAATATCCCATTGAGAGGTGCCTCTGTTTCAAACACATTGTTTTACCCCCTTTTCCTGGAGTTTCCTTGCTATCAAGACTACCCATAGGAATAAATTTCAATTTAAAAAATGCAGTATTGCTAAAAAACTTTGTAATCCTGACACAATTCTATTTTCTGTTTCCCCATTACCTTTTCAATTCATTAAATGCCTAAAGGAACATTTTCTTTCCTACTTGAGCTGTGCTTGAGGAAAGAAGGAAGGAAATACCACATAAGCTTCAACTCCAGATTCCTCCCTAATTTTGACACCACTAAAGATGTGTTATCAGAACATCAGCTAAGCTAGATCAGAGAAAGGGTAGGACCTATACTGTTGCAGGAATTTGGGATTCTTTCCTGAAGGGTTGGATTTGCCCCTGCATGAAGCCACCAAAAATCTGCTTCCCCATCTAAAAGGCCACGTGTGTGTCACAGATATTTGCAAGCATCCTCTCTCTTCTCCATGGCTCCAGCTTTTTTTCCTAATGTGTGGCCTCCACAACACTGTTTAACCTCAACTTGGCTTTCTATTTCCCTGGGAGCTTCCTCACCCATCTTTCTTGGCTCCAGGAAAGAGAACAAGGAAAATGCTGTGTCAGAAATCACAGCTCTTCATCTCTCCCCACCTCCTCTGATGAAAAAGGAAAAGTGGGAATAAATATTGGTGGAAAAGCCTGCTCTATCTACTCTTATGGCACAAACCTCCATCACAGCAAGACTTTGTGTTTTCTTAAAAGCTCAGCTGGAGAAAAATGATTAAATGGTGACCTCACTTTGCACTGAAAAGCAAAATTTAAAAAATCCAAACAATGAAATCTTTAAAAAAGAGGTGTTCACAGTCCTAGATTCAAGTTCCACATCCAATCAGAGTATATCCTGAGAAAGTGGTATGACAAGGGCCAAAGAAACGAAAACATTAGTTCACCTACAAAATTTCAACATTCTTAGGTCAGTCTTGTGTGGTGAAGTGTGGAATTACTTGTGATGTTTGCAAACATGGATTTGACTGTGCTCATCTGCCTTGGCTACAGGACACTGTCTACTCCTCTTTTCGTCCATCAAGTCAATCCAACTGCCAGCACACAATTCCCAGATTATTTTCAGGGTGCTGCTGCACACTGTGGCTTGCACCCAGAAAGGAAGGCAGCTCTGTGACCTAAGAATTCAGTTCCTGAAAGTATCAGGAGAGAATATTGAATACATTGATAACAGAAGTGTTATTTCCTTTTCTGTCAGTTCCTGAAGCTCAGCCAGAATACTTCACATTCTCACTTTGCCACTTTGCTTAACCAGACCACGATTTTGCAGTTGTTCATGAAACTACCTATCAGAATTGAAACAATTCCAACAGCAAAGGCTTTAAACCCACCTCCATTGGCTCTTCTCCCCCCTTGGTTTGACTGTCGCCCACCTCTCCACTCTCATAATTGCTGCTCTTCTCAACCCACAATTCAGATTTTTCTACAGTCAGACGTAGCTGGTCAAGATCAGCCTTGATTTGCTTGTAGTTATCCACATCTTGATTGGACACCAGCAACTGAACCTGGAAATGGAGAAAATTGTGAAGCTCTTACAGCAGTAGCACCAGCACTTATGGCTGGGTAATTTGCTTGATAGTTCCCATTCTAAGCCTCTTTCCAGGTGCCTTGTGCAACCTTCCCTTGCAATTCAAACATGGCACATGCAGGCTCTTAGTCCCCATTTATCAAAAACCTTTAGCAGAGCCAGAGGCTGTAGTTGCCCAAAACAGGATAGTTAAAACATTCACAACATCCTTCTTGAATACACTGCAAAACATTTTCAGCACAGGCAGATTTACAGGCTCTTGAGTTCTGTGCAGAGTGAGCTCTGATGCACTGATCATGAATCTCATGGCATTATAAAATACAGTTACACGCATATTAAAGCAATAGTTAGAAATACCTACTGCTTTAGCACTGTACTTGAGAAGGAAAAAAAAGGATGGTATGACAAGAGATCTGGGCATCCAAAGAAAAGTCAGAATGGCCAGCAATTTTAATGATCTCCTACACCACCATAATCAAATATTGAAAAATAACAGACTTTCATACTGTTAGGCCAGCTTAGAAAAACTTTTCTGAATATAGCTGACAAACTGACTTTCGGGTTCATGGAATTTCTCATCATCTGAGTGGGTGCCACTTATTAAGACTAATCTCATTTTCCCTTTTCCTGTACTGCTCAAATTATCTGGGTTCTTCACTGTTCTGTGTAGTTCTTGATTTAGCATGACCAACACATTTTCTTTCTTTCTAACGCTCTCTGTTCTCCCAAGATTATTAATCAAGACAATATGCCAAAAAACTATCAGCAATTTTTACAGTAAATTAATAAACACACTTAAGAAATCATACTCATATAAAAGATTAGGGTCACTGACAACACTGATGTTGTTTTTAAAACCACATTACATCCAGGCAAATGTTCACTATTTTGTAATATAAAGTTTTTGTCATAATAATCTCTTTGGCTTGGCAAAACCTTGCTATTTTACAGAATTTATGAATGCTGCTCAGTTGCAGGCATTCTTATTCCACGTGCTCTACAGTCTTTTTTGTTTATTTCTCCATTAGCCTTTTCCATCCTTCACAAAAACACATTAAGCAACTCAGTCCTTGCTTACCTGGGAATAACAGCTATTTATGCAACTAACCAGCACAGCCTAGCTTTAAATACCTGGTGGGAGGCCATTATGCTGCACAACAATAACATTAAACAAAAGCTTTTCAGGTCTTTATCATTCATCTGTTTGCACAGGAGAGGAACCTCCCTACCTTACATAACGATGAGACAACATGCTACCCAGCTCCTGCAATAAGCATCAGATGTTCTTATCAACATATGTTAGAAAGGGTTATGTAACAGAGGCATCTCTGTCCTGCAGCCCCATGACATCAGATCTCCCTGTCCTAATCCACGGACACATGGAGCCTGCACATGCACTGCTACCAGAGGGACAGAATAAAAGCTGAAAACAGGCTTGGCTCTGTCCCTGCCTTCCTGCTATTTGGGCTGCATCAGGCAGGGGAGCCCCGTGCAAAGACACCTGAATTGGAATTAGTAGCACCAGGTGAATAACAAAATAACAATGCCCAGCCTAAGTGGCCCTGAAGACAAAGAAGTCTCACTGCTGACACGAGGACACTGCCTGCCAAACATGAGGCACTGGCTCTGTCCCTGAGGGATCCCTGTGAGAGGCTCACCACGGACCTACGCTTTCCCTGATGGATGCAGTGCCAGAAATAACAATTTCTGGGGGGCACAGAACAATAACATATAGCAGCACATATGGCCAAAGAAGTCTGCTGATACTTGACCTCTGAGGAAATAACACTGTCATGCAACAAACAGCAATTTAAGTAGCAGAACAGCCTTTGGGAAGGCTCTCTGCATTCAGTTTCCTGGGATAACACTCAGCCCACCCATACCTGTTTGAATGCTTGCAGAACTTCTGCTCTCTGGCTGAAGTGCTTGAAGAGCAGGTGCAGAGCCCCTGAGAGCAATGGGGGGTAGTCGTGCATGATCAGGTGAATGAGGACCCGTAAAAAAGTTCTGCCCCCTTCATCATCAAGCTGAACTGCATTCTTCTCCTTTCTGCAACAGAAATGGGGAGAAAGGACCAAATAAAGTAAATAAGAAAAAATAAAAGCTCTTGAGATAAATATGCCTCTATACACAATCTTCACTCAACAGAGCTCTTAAAATCAAATTAAATATGCTGCAGGAGGGAAATTATAAATATGACTTTAACATATTTTACAAGGACTTCTCTCCTACAGTTATTGCAGCAATCTTATAGCATAATGGACACCATGGAGCAGAAGTAAGTATCTACAAAATGTGTCAAACATTGTGATTAAAATCTGTATTGCAAAAGCATTCATTTATGTCATGGTTAAGTTGAGCCAGGTTCATCCCCATTCCAAATTAAATGAAGTAAACTGCATTTCCTCAGAGATTAATTTGACCCTTTCCTTTTCACTCCTTCCCTTTTCAGCTGCTATTAAAATTTCATTTAAGAAAAAATAAGATCAAAAATAGCAAGAATTGCCAAAAGCATCATATTTCTGGAATCATATTCATAATGTGGAACGGCAGAAAGCAGATTTACACTTAACATATCAAAGCAGAAATAATGTTTCCAAGAAACCATTCGGCCTCTCTGTTCATTTTAAAGATGCAGATGCCAAGGGCTGTGTGTTGTTTTACATTATGGGAGTTCAGGAGAGGCCTGGAGGCATTGCTTGTGCTGGTAAAGATTGAGAATGCATGAGGGACTGAGAGAGGAAAGATCACAGTGCCCACATTGCAGATCCTTCTCCTTAGCTCCAAGAAAAACTTTAAAGTCTACGGCCTTGTCTAAATGGAATTAATTTTTACTAGTATAATTATAATTATACCCGTAAAATTAAACCAATATAGTGATAATGGTAATAACTCTCCAGTATGACTGTTTTCCATGGGTTACTTTTTTCTGTTCACAGCATAGCTGAAATCCCTTCCAGAATCCTGCAAGCATAAATTGTAATCTACAGGCCTCTGGTGGACCAGGAGATCATGGCAAGTGGTCCTCTCCTGATCTGAGGAGGCACAGGAGAGATTACTGCTGGCACAATGTTTCCAAGGACTTTGAACACCAAGTGCAATGACAAAGGTCATGCAATCTGTAAGAAACCCTGAGGGCCAAAAGCAAGTTGCTGATCCAGGAAATTTGGGGCTGCAGCCATAAGACACACCAGAAAAAGAATGGCTTTTCAGCACCCATGTGAGGCATTATAAGATAAATAGAAAATTAATGTGGTTCAGCCCAACACACCTGTACACCATTCCCCAGCTGCCTTTGGGAACACAACAAAAACTTTCTACCAACTCTCTTACAACTAAGAGGGTGCTCATAGCCAATCCCACAGCCATCCAGGCCAGCTGGGCTGTTTGCTTGATTGAAATCCAGGTCTTTCCTGGCACGTTTCTGTTCAAGTATGGCTTATGCAATTAACAAGCAGGCAAAGGAAGAGAAAGGGCTATAAAAATAAGCACAGAATAAACAGAGATTGGCCACGAGAAATATTGACATGAACAAAAAGATATATAAATATACAGAGAGGTAAAACTTCAGAATGTACCTGCCAGCAAACATGGTTTCAGCCTGAGCTGCAATTTCATCTATGTCAGGAACAATTGCTAGGAAAAAAATCAGAAGAAAAATTTGAATTAAAAAAATAAAGAAAAGAAAAAAACAAAGAAAGCCAATGCTCATCATTTAATCTGCACAGCAAAATGGAGTTCTGTTCCTCTTTAAAGCAGATGGTATCAAGTAAAGGTCTAACTAGTCATTCCCCAACTACGCAAAATTTGCTTTCTGCAAGAGTAGCAGAGAACAAACAGGATATGGGGCAGAGGTAAATTGTGTATTACTGTTCCTGAGGAAGAGAACTGTAGTGATGGACCAAAGCCACAGGGTGCTAGGAACTGTACTAGTCACCAGCAGTGACCTACAAATGATGCAGATAGTCAAACTTTTACATTTTTTCTTACATTTTCTTCTTTTTTCTTAAGCCAACCCCAGCAAAGCATACACATGAACTTTAGAATATTTACCATAAATCCAGTTATTTGCCACACCATCATTTTGCTTTAGAATGGCTTTAATATAACTTATTACTTAAGACTTCAGCAGCCCTGTATTATACATATGCCCGCCTGCAACTAGAGCAATTCTCCCCTACCTGCAGGTATTCACACAGACCTTTTAGGCACTTGTGTGTGCAAGGGAGGGCTCCCTGGAAAGCCAAATGATTCCCATGTCATGTTCATCTCACTTAAACCTGTCCTCATCCACCCCCAAACACTATCCACTTACCACCATGCAGTGTTTTGGGAAGAGCACAGATAAAAGAACAAAATATCACAGTGGGGGAAAAGGAATCACTTTTTTGTTAGAGGAGGAGGACAGACCAGTAAAAAAAAATTGTGGATTTCCTTAAAATTTTTAATTTTTCACAAGTTTTTCAACTTGCAGTAGCCTATGTCTTTCTGCTGCAGTTGAGCTCAGTGTTTGCAGTTGCCCACCCAGAACTGAAAGAAAATTGCAAGGTTTACCTGAAGCAGTCCCTGGTGTGTCAGGTGGGGATGATGTAGAGCAGTCAACATTTTCAGTGTTTTCCCCAAACTCCCTCTTATAGATAGACAGCATGTAGGATATTCTGTAGTCCAGTCTAACACTGAGAATAAACTACAAGAAAAAAAAAAAAAAAGTGAAGTAAATTAATTTAAGTTTACTATGAAAAAACAATCCAATACATTCACCAGCTTTCTGTGATTTCTTTCTTTCCCCTGCCCATCCTGAGACATGTTGAGCTCTGCCCTATGGATTGCTTGAGTACCACTGGGTGTGTGCAGGGGCTCCAACACACTGTCTTGTCCTCGCTGCCTGCAAGCCAGATCAGAACCTTCAAACCCACACTGACATCAACTATTTCATATTTCAGCTGGACTTCCAATGCCCCACAGAGTGGAATAGAGAGCAAGCACAACAGGCTCAAGGCTCACCTTCTCAGATATCTGAAAAATCCCTTTTTGTTCTTCAGCTGTGAAACTGGAAACTCATACAGGAAAAATCCTAATTCAGACCTGGAAATGCTGCTTTTATATTGGAATAGTGAGGAAAATAACTAGGCTGGAAGCATTAGTATCAAATTAAGGGCTGACACTTATACACATGGATGCTTCTTGCCCACAGGAAATGCAAGCATGTAATCAAACACCTTTAAGATTATTTAACATATTTTACAATGAGTGGGGATGAAAGACATATGCTGAGTTTCCAAGGCTGAGGTGACAGGTGATTTGAAAGGTGAGTTAGTAAATGGTGCCAACCTGTTTCTTTGATCTACAGCTAAAGTCAAATATGCTTCCCAGACCCACTGTAATGGGATTACTCTATTTTGGTTCCATTATTAAGTTGCCCCAGAATTGTACAGGCAAGATTTTTAAAAATAAAAATTTCCCAAGTCCATGCATAGTCAACTAAGTCTATCAGACCATCTGTTTAATTCTGGCTGAGGGCAGAATAGAAATCATAAGTTAAACAGTCTTTACTTAAAGCAACAGGAAGATATGTTGACAATTAAATTTCTACAAACTGAAATATTTCTGAGAATAGAACAGCTTTAATCACCATTGTATTTGCTTTGCATGTTAGTAAAATAAATCTAAAATATTCTTACCGTTGAGGCTAATAACACAGTAATGAAAGGTAACATGATTGAAATTAATCCTTCCTCATTGCATTTTAAATGAAACTGAATTATTTTGTATTTCTTGTGGGCTAGGATCATATATATGCACATTTACTGGGATTCACCCAGCATATGACAACTCACTTATCTGAAGTAATTTGACCATGTGACCAATCCTTAATTACCAAACCACAGATTAAGTAAGAAATTAGGATTAAGTACTCTTCAATCCTGAGGGGTCTTGCAATGAATGTGCTGTGAAAAAGGAAAGGATGAGACAACATGTGATTCTCTCAGGGAATGTACAGGACAAGGTCCTGGAATCATCCTCCTAGGCATCCACCAGTAAAGCAGGACAGCATGGAGAGAAACTCAGTCATACAAACAAGGAAAATGAAAAGCAATACACATGATTTGTGTTATTTAGGTCATATAATTTTGTAACACTCTGTCTTTCACTGTAAGTTTTAAAGTAAAGGAGGCCTAGAACCAAAGAATGCAGTATTGAGTATATTCTAACAATTGATAGCCTTTCACATGACAAGTAATTAGAGTCATCTAAATAATTTATGAGCAGTCAGAACAAATGGAATCCTTCAAAAGTGACATTGGTACCAACAAATCCAGAGAATTTATAGAAAACACCGAAACATTCCTTCAGGGCCCAAGCACTGCAGAAAGCAGGATTCGGTACACAGAGCAAGCGTGTGCCACTTCACTTATTAACAGCACCAAGTGAAAACTGCCTCTCAGGAGGCAGGCTGGTGTCACCCAGATTGTCACATCAGCTGGGAGAAAATCACAGCAGCCCACAGACTCTTCTCAGCCCAACAGCAGAAATCTGAAATGCATTAATTGCACCAAAAGTGTGCAGCCTCCCACAACTTCAGTGGGGCCAGGGCCAAATTCTGCCCTTTATCCAACTACTGCAACAGAGGGGTCAAATGCTTAAATCAAGCAACCACCCCAGTGTTAAGTGTGTGAAAGAAACTGGAAACAGACACACGGTGTTCAGGAAACATTAGTGAGGCAGATTAGAGGACAAGTTGTCTTTGCACAATTACAGTGAGAAAGTTTCTGCAGCATCTTGTTCCTTCAAAAGTGAAACTGGTACAACAGGGTGAGGACCACAACTCTGCAATTTTTCACACAGAGGACTATCCTGCCTCATATCAAGGAGGTATTTCTACAATAAACAGGGCAGTGAATAGTAAGAATGTGGGAAACACAACTGGCCACTGTGTGAGTAAAGAATTGTGAAATAGCTGCTGTGTAATATACCACCTCTCATTATTACCTGCAAAATCTCAATGATTTTCAATTTGGTGTCCATTACAATCACATCTTCACTGTCTGCAGTGCTGGCTTGCTTGCTTGGGTGAATGCTTGGCTGTATGTCAGGGGTACTGATGGGAAACACAGACCCTCTGCTCAGCACCATTTGGGTCATCATCTCTCCTACTCCATGGATGGTCCTCATGACGTTGTTCCCTGTGCATTAAACAAAAACAGACACATTTCCTAGGACTAAAGCATGTTTACAATGCTATATATTACATTTACATCCATGTTGTCAAACCCCTTTCCAGTCTCAAATGGCATTTTGAAAAAGAAGCCCTCAGCTCCTGAGCTCATTCAAATTACCCAATTAGGCAAAAATTTTCTATGCTGATTTTTCCAAGATATCATTTCTTACAGGTCAACAGATGGTAAACATGCCAAAATATTTCCAGAGTCTGTAAACATGCTCAACAAATGATAAAAAGTAGAACTAAAGAAATCTCACCCATTCCTTTGCCTGAAGGTGCATTATCCACATCCAAGACAATTTCTTAAAGAGGTTTAACTTGTTTTTAAGAATATTTGCAAACTGAGTGTTGCATATCCAGTATTATAGAACATCCCTAGGCAAGCAATTCCAGTACTTGACTATGCTTATCATTAGAAAACTTTTATTGGTATTTTATTAATACCATCTATTGCTGCAATTTGGAGACACATGGGAAGAGTTTTAGATGTCATATTGAAGGAGAGTAAAGAGATGAGGTTGTGCCAGTCTGATCAATCTCATTGTGTGGTTCAAATGACAGGGCACAACCCAAACCAAACTGACACAACCAGCCAACCATCCCCCTTTAAAAAAAAAGTGCCAGGACAATGCCAGGCTTGAAGGCTGTCCTGAAGGTCAAGCTGGTATCTGTAATCACAGTGCCTTTTGTCAATTATTCATGAGGGAAAAAAATATTTTACACTTAAGTGGTAAAACCTTTATCCAGGTTGCAATGGTACACTGCAAAATCTACCGAGAAATACCATCTGTTCCCACAGATTATACTGGTCTTTGTAGTGAATTTTGATGGGAAAAGCATCTCAGTGAATCAGTGGCTTCCTTGCAAAGGTGGGACAAGAAAGTGTGAGAATATTTTGCTACCTACCTACATGAATCAGTTTCCTTTCTTGCAAGACACAGATAGTGAGGAATGGAAGAAAGGAAGGGAATGACAGCATCTCTTCACAGGAAGAATGCCAGGACCTAGGTTACACTAAAGGCAAAGAAAAGACTGAAGGAAATGTAGCTTTGCTGAGAGAAGCCTGAATAATTCTTGTCTGTCCTTTAGTACACTTTAATCACCATGCCACAGCCAAGCTTTACTCACATTGAAGAAACCCTCTTCCCAGATAATCTGCTGTAAAAGTCAAGGCTGGATTTTATTTTGTTGGCAAAATCCTCCTATTACTCCCTTCTTTCTTCAATCCATATACAACTACAATGTGTATGGAAAGAGAATGCCTTTAGCCCTGACTTTAAAAGGGAAACACACAAAGAAGGTGCTTTTTCAAAGTGAATGAGGCAGATTTGTGTCAAGTTTGAGGTCCCATTCAGCATCTGGTTTGGTGTGCAATCACTCTGAATCAGTCTTTTAAAAATAATACTTCAAGTCTCTACAAAAGGAGGTGGGGGGAGAGGGGAAATGTACTTCTGATTTTGCATGTTGTTAGGGGAAAAAAACCTAGAAGTCAAAATAAAGGCTGGATCCTCACATTAGGCTGCCACAGAAAGTTCTAACTGCTTACACAGGCATAAAGCAAATAAATCCATCACAAATAGTCTCCATGACATAAAATGAAAATGGTGTGTTTTCCTTTCAAATCAAGTAAAACAGTGTGGGCATAACATGGGATGAATATCTCTCTCCCACTCCCCAACTCCTTTCTCCCAAAGTGCTAAACAAGTATTTGTATTGACCACCACCCACTACACCTGTGCAAAGCTACAGTACTACATGAAGGACCTTCAACCCTAAAGTACCTTCAGTTGAACCAACATTTTGTATCTTCTTCATCTTCAAACCATGAAAAAAATGAAATTCATTTCATTCTGTCCTTAATGCTGACACATAAGCCCACAAGACATGATGTAGCTTGGGCAGCTGCATCATGGCCTGCAACACCGCCGGCATACATCTCAGTTAAGAAATTATAATCTCTCAAAACATTGATTCAAAATCTCTTTTGCTCAGTTGGGCAGAGGGAAATATAAATAGAGGGCATTTGGAAAGCTCAGGAATTCTTTAAAAACAAACTTCAGTCAATGGGGTTAATGATAACGAAACCACTTAGGTCTAAGACAAGTCCAGAAGATATTCTTCTCAAAAACAAGACACAACTGCAGTTTGTCCAAAATAAGGAAGAAAAATTCCACTTCATCTTGAAAAGTTCCTGCTCACCCTTCAAGACTGAAATCTACTGGGTGTAAAGCTAACGAAAAAGTTAGTGTCTTTTGGACAAGACATCAGACAACATCTTGGGTGCACCTCAGTTCTTGGAGAAAGAAAGCTGGGATTTTGCCCTGACCATATCTTGCTTATTTCTCAGCTATTACTGGGGTGCTGCACAGGCATGGAAGGGAATGCAATTCAACTCCTTCAGTGAAAAAGGAATTAGTCACTGTCTCTGCATTTCAGGACAGCCTCCATAAATGAGTAGGTCACTTTTTCCACCTCTAGGAAGGACACTGAGAGGCCTGCAATAGCAAAGACTCTGAGGCACTCAGCTAATGTGATACTGGAGCCCAGAAAAACATCTAGGAAATAAAAATAAATTAGGTGATTGTTGTCCCTTCCTCTTAGCCACAGAATACCAGTGCCCAAAGGTGGCACAAACCAGTGAGAGGCAGCTATGAAGCTGCTTCCCAATAGCATCAGTAACAAGGATAAACGCTCTGTCCACAGCTTTCCTTCACTATTGACCTTAATGCAAGTGATCTCAAAAGACAGAGGTGGGAAAGTGAAGGAGGATTAAGGAGGTATTTATTATCCCTGCCATTTCAAACAGCATTTCATTAATGCATAGGAAAGGATTTTAGTAAGAGAAAAGTCTACTTAGTCCAGTTCAGTATTTACAGCTGAAATGGGCAGTGATTCAATACTGCATTATTTCTGTCAATAACAGCAGGGAGACAAGGTGTCATCTTGGAAAACTTTTTAACCAACTGCCTGATGCTGACTATAATTTTCAGTTAATTCAGAGCAGGTTGAAGAGAACATTCCCAGAGTTAAAATGCTGCAGCAACTGGAGCAATTCAGCATTTCTTTTCAGGAAAGGTATCACAACAACTATGTTTTGCAGGGTGCTGATGAAATGCAACCCTCTCCAAGGAGCAGACAGCAGTCAAGCAGCACATTCATGGATGGCAGTGAAGCAGCTGATGTGTCTCAACTGAGAGGAGCTGCTCTGCTTTGTGAAAGAAGCCAGGGAGATCTTTCATGTACATAAGGACTGGGGAGCAGCTTCTCTTCCAAAAGATCCCCCTGTAATTATCACTGGTGATACTCAGTGTTGCCTGTCCAGCCTTGGAAGTCTGGACCATGTTAAGCATGTATTAAATCTGTCAGTCACAAGCACGAGGGGCCAGCAGCAGTCTGGCTTGAAGGTGCTTATCCCAACAGGGAAGGGTGTGCTTCCCTGAGGTAAGGCATGCAGGAAGGTTACTGCAGCTTAAAAAGGGACTGGCTCTCTGTCAGCTAAGCTTGCAACAATGCAAGACAAAATACATTGGCTCAATAAAAGAGATTTAAGTTCTTAGTACATGTGCACACAATGACTAAAATAAGGGAGCTCTGATCTTAGTCACATCTCCAAAGTGCTTCCTGAATACCAATGACCAAGGAAAAATTAACTTACTGCCTCAGCTAGTTAACTGAGATAAATCAGGAGAGAGAGCAAGTAGATGTGAACCCTGATTACTCTTATGTGCACTTTGCTAGAGATAAGTGAAGAGAAGCTGAGCTGTGCCTCCATATGGTACTGCCACCCTTAACCTGCTGACCTCATCTCAGGCTGTTTTCTTTGGGGTCAAGGTACTAACATTTATATATGGCTGTGAAGCGTGGCAGGGAGAGAACAGTCCTTGCAATGTTGTGAGGTGCTAATGTGTGCAACCAACCACTTCTCTCAGCAGCAAACTGCGGCACAAGCACTCAGAGCCGTGACTGACCAACAGAGGAAAAGAACACAAGGAAATCTCCTTGAATCTTTTTCCATTTTTCCCTTCTTCTCTGTTCCCCCTTCTGCCAAGACAAGTCAGATGCCAAAAGCCTTCCATAGCAGTGGACCCATTAGAAATGTCTCCTATTTAATGTACAGTCTCAACAAGATTAGTCGATGGAAGAGTGAATGCACTATGCACAAGTGGTAATTTAAAGGAGCTGTAGATTGACAGACACTGAAGGAAGAGGAAAGAAGAGAATGCTTGTCATGTTTTGAATAGACAACTGTGCATCTCCTTTTCATTACTTTTTATTACAGTGATCACAACTTCCTAATGAGTATCAGTTTCTGTCACAAAACTGTAGCACATAATCTCATACAATTTGGCACGATTGACAACACAGCGGCCTCTCTGAGAAGAAAGGCTTTTCAGAGGAGTCAATTATGGGAAAAAAATAACAACCACCCAAGTAATCGAAACAGTGGATAATTTGACACTTCATTTTCTACATAAACATATTTTCTTGATAAGTCATTTACTGGTTGCAAAAATTCTAAAAGCAGAATATAAAAGTGAACAACAATCTGCTATGCAATACAGTATGGATGATAAGTGACAAAATACCATATTCAGTAAGAAAAACAACTGCTGGAGGCAGCTGGCAATTCGTGCCTTTGCTTCCAATTGTTCCCAGCCCATTGCTATGGAGCATTCTCAGTTTGCTCTCCAGGATCTACAGAATTTTGGATATTTCACACACAGTGCAGAGAGCTGTGCAGAACCTGAGGGTGAACAGTCAGTGGAAGCCTCAAAGGCTGGCAGATCCCCTTAGAGCCAGAGTCCTCTGAGTCCCCAGAGTCCTCGGCTCCACAGAAATCTCCAAGATGCCAGGGAACCAACGTGCAGCCTTGTTTATTTAAAAATTACCTATAGGCACCTGATCTGGTCCCTAGTTGCCATGGGGGGAAGGAGTCTGCTCTTATTATCATTGCTGTTCAGT